GTGTGTGTGTGTGTGTGTGTGTGTGTGTGTGTGTGTGTGTGTGTGTGTGTGTGTGTGTGTGTGTGTGTGTGTGTGTGTGTGTGTGTGTGTAGGACAGGAGACGGCATGCATGACATGCATGGGCGTCGACAATTCGCACACACACACAGAGTCATAAATGCAGCTCTCTCACCCCTCATCACTCCCTGTGCGGTGCAGGTTCCGTCTGGGTCGAAACTTGGCGTTGCACGGGCGCCCGCGAAGAAAATCACGCCCCCATATGCGCTCTCCCCGTTCAAGCGGCCCGAGACATACATCAGATACATCGAATCACAGGTCTGTGTGTGTGTGTGTGTGTGTGTGTGTGTGTGTGTGTGCACGCGAGCATACACCTGTACATGTACACATGTACACATGCGTGTGTGTGCATTTCCCTACCACTGTGCATTGCTTGCCCCCCCCCACAACATCACACACGTGTGCGGCCGTCTTGACCCTTCGTTTTGTCCTTGGTCACCAACAGGACCAGGCGGGTGTCTACGATCTGGATACAGAGGACGAGATTTGGCGCAAGCTGTTCAACGAGAGGCACCGCTTGAAGGTGGGCGCTGGCGTATACTCAACGCCCGCTGTCAACACTCTCACTTGCTCACACAAACGCACACGCACACACACACACACATACATACACACATACACACACACATACACACACGCACATTCACACACATACACACACGCACATTCACACACGCACACACACGCACATTCACACACGCACACACACGCACATTCACACACGTGAACAACACTTCCCCTCCTCCCCCCCCCTGTTGGCTGTCTGCTGCTGTCTGCAGGACGGGGTTGAGATTTCATACCACCACATGTCACGCGCCATCTTTGAGTTTGAGCGAGCGGCGTTCCGCGGTATGACCAAGGCCGGCGGCAAGGCGAGCTGCCACGGACTGGAGTATGACGAGAACACCGTGTGCGACGTGTGCCAGCTTCCCGACTCGGAGGAGGGCAATGAGATGGTGTTTTGCGACGGCTGCAACCTGTGTGTGCACCAGGTGTGCTACGGTATCAAGGTCATTCCAGAGGGCAACTGGTCAGTTGAAGGCACCCTTGTGTGTCTGTGTGCGTGTGTGTGTCTGTGTCTGTGTCTGTGTGTGATGTGTGCCTGTGTGTGTGTGTCTGTGTGTGTCTGTATGTGTGTGCGTCTGTGTGTAAACATTGCGTATTTGTGCATGCTGCTGTCCGTCATTGCAACACCTCTTCAGGCTGCGTCCTGCTGCTCCCACCTTTGCTTTCCCCTCTCGTTCTCACTTGCCCACTCGTTCCGCTTGGCCATCCTTGATGCAGGTACTGCTGTGCGTGCAGTCTTGGCGCAGCCCACCTCTCCTGCCACCTCTGCTCTGGAAAAGGTGACGACATCTCAGGCTTGATCGCTTGCTTGCAGGCATACGACAACTTCAAGTCGTGCGCCGCTGTTCCTGTGATGACGAAATGGCGGTTGAAGATGAAGAAACAGAGCGAAAATGCCCTTGCACACGTACACACGTTTGGCCCCTGCAAAGCACCGCGACAATCACATTTGACTCATTCATACATTGCACACATCCACGCATCAACTTTACATGCACACGTGCCACCCCTTCACGCGTGTGCATCAGGCGGTGCGCTGAAGCCGTGCAGCGGCGGAAAGCACTACGCACACGTCCGATGTGCAATGTGGATCCCAGAGTCTTCCATCGTCGACCCGGTATGTGTGCGTGTGCGTGTGTGTGTGCCTGTGCCTGTACCTGTGTTTCGTGTGTGTATGTCTGTGTGTGTCTGTGTATGCCTGTGTATGTCTGTGCTTGCGTGTCTGTATCTGTATCCGTCTGTCTCTATTTGTGTGTACGCTGTGGTCGCCTGCCGTTTGCATGATTGCTCCTTTGTCGCGTTCTCACCTCCCCTCCCCTTCCTCTCACGCTCCCCTTCCTCTCACGCCACCCCTTTCCACCTTCCTTGTCTCGTTGCACCCCAGGATGTGATGGAGCCCATTGACATCTCCGAGGTCCCCGCCGACCGCTACAAGCTCCTCTGCACCCTCTGCGGCCAGCGCACGGGCGCCTGCATCCAGTGCATCGTGAGTTCGCCGCACGATTTGTCTGTCTACCCACCCCCACACATGCGTCCTCTTGCTTTCTTCGTTTGCATTTCAGTGTTTTGCAGCTCGTACGCGCGCGCTACTCTAATCATCCACCACTGATCACCACCACCATTCACCACCATCACCGTCTATCCACCACCACCATCCTGCAGGTTCCGACGTGCACGACGGCGTTCCACGTGACGTGTGCGACGTCTGCCAAGCTTCGGATGGAGCTTGAGATTGAGGACGACTGTGTGTACCGCCACGCGTACTGCAACCGCCACCGCAACGCCGCTGCCCGCCACCCGGGGGCCCAGCGCGTCGCAGCGATATGGATGGGCGCTGGTAGTGACGACGACGATGACGACGATGATGGTGGTGGTGGCGGTGGTGATGATGATGATGATGATGATGATGATGATGATGATGATGTGGCTGTTGACTTGCGAGGTCGCAAGGGACGCAGAGGCGGTAGCGGTGGAGGAAGCCAGAAGACGACGAAGAAGCAGCAGAGGAATAAGCGTGAGAATGGTCACCACCACAGCCGTGCCAACAACGCGCAATCATCCTCATCATCCTCATCCTCACCGTCAAGAAGGAGCCAACAGCGACACCAGCAGCAGCAGCAGAGCACAGCAGGGGCAGCGCCGCCTGTTGCAGAGTTTTGCTCGCACGTCGACGTTGTCGACGGTGCGTGATGAGTGCTGCTGTTACTTGTACTGTGACTGTGGTGTTTGTTTGCAGTGTTTTCTGCTGCTGGTGTCTGACCTGCCTCACCTGCACGATATTTATTGTGTGTGTCTGCTTGTCTGTGCGTCTGTGTGTGTGTGTGTGTGTTTCTGTGTGTCTGTGTGTGTGTGTGTGTCTGTGTGTGTCTGTGTGTCTGTGTGTGTGTGTGTGACGATGCAGTTGCGGAGGAGTTGGACGCTCCGCTCGAAGTTGCCCGCGCGGTCTTTGCATTTTGGGTCCAAAAACGGCGACGGCAGCATGGAAAGGCCCTGGTACGCTGCAACTGTGCAATCCCCTGTGTTCTTGTGTGTGTGTGTGTGTGTGTGTGTGTGTGTGTGTGTGTCTGTCTGTCTGTTTGTCTGTCCGTGTGTGTGTGTGTGTATGTGTGTGTCTGTCTGTCTGTCACCTTGACAACCTCTGACGACCCAGCATGTCGACCATCCCGACAGATGCGCCAGTTTGTGCCGGCGATGATGAAACGAACGCCGTCTGTCTACGGCGATCCAACTACGGTCAAGAAGCAGATCCACAAGATCCGTCTCTCGCTCGGTCAGTTCCCACACTCCAGCTGGCACTCGGGCTGATCGTGTGTTCTCGTGTCGTGTGTTGTCATTGCTGTTGCGTAAACTCGGGACAGCTGCTTTCACCCAACTACAAAGCACCACTCGCCAACATGCTTGCGAGCACGCAGTTTCTCGCTTTCCCGCCTTGACTTTCAACTCACCCATCTCCACCAACTGCCTTCGTGCACCTGCCCATCTGCCTGTCTCTTTGTCGGTGTTGGTGCATGTGGCTATCCATCCATCTGTCTGCCCTTCTGATCATCCTTCTGCATGCCCATCCTTCTGCATGCTATTCTATGCCTCTTTCCAGAGCGGGCGCGGTCGCTGTGTGAGATGACGCGTCGGCGCGAAACGAGAAAGCGCGATCTCATCTCTGTCTTTGAGGAGATGTTCACCGCCAACGTCGTGGCCCTCTGTGACCCATCGTCGCCCCCGCCATCGCCCATCACCACTGGAGCGATTGCGGCAGCTGCGGTAACGCCCCCACGGTCACGCCCCCCGTCGCCACCCATCAACATGGCGGCGCTGGAGTCGTGCTGCGGCAAGGAGATGGCGCAGTGGATTGCAAGCACCGCAAAGCGCAGGGAACCAGCGCTCTCGGTACGTGGAGACAGGATGATGGTGGTGATCGTGTATGTTCTTGTTTGGGCTGTGAATTGCGACTGCTGCCATCATTTCCCCTGGCTCCCCGCGTCCCTTGCCACTCTTTCTCACGCCACACACACACACACACACACACACACACACACACACACACACACACACACACACACACACACACACACACACACACACAAACACAAACACACACAAACACAAACACACACACAAACACACACACAAACACACACACACACACAAACACACACACACCTTTCTTTTTTTTTTTTTCACCTCGTTTCTCTTTCTCCCCTCACAGGTCCCAGCGAGTGCAGCACGGCCGTCAACAGCACAACAGCGCGCGGGCGATGCCAGGACGCGAACACGCGAGCGCACACGGCGAAGCGGCAGGCTGCACCCGCACCGTGATGGTGGCGGTGCTGGTGGTGGTGGTGGTGGTGGTGGTGGTGCTGAGAGGCACGCGACGGAGACGGAGGCGAAAGAAGCGAAGCAGCATGATGATGGACAGAAGGGTGAAGGGAGTGCGAAAGCAGGCAAGGGCAAAGGACAGCCGCGACAGCAGCAAGAAGAGGAGATGAAACAAGCCATGGTGGAGATTATTGAGAAGATGCAGAAGCACTCGGAAGCAACACACTTTCAATTCCCTGTCAACCTCAGTGAGTGGCAAGCCAAGGGGCGCGTAAATGTGTGTGTGTGTGGGGTGGGGGGTGGGTGTTGTATTGCCGCCGCTGTGATTGTTTTCGCCTCAGCTTACCAATGCGCATTCAACTCCCACACGGGGTGCAACCAGGCTACTACCCGGACTACGCGAAGGTGATCAAGTCGCCCATGGACCTGGCAACGCTCCATTCCCGCGCCACCTCCAACGCGTACAGCACATATGCGGCCTTTGCCGCCGACGCAGAGCTCATCTTTGACAACTGCAAGGCGTACAACCTCCCCGACAGCGATATCGTTCGCTCTGCAGAGAAACTACGAGGTGAGTGGCGGCAGGGCAGACAGTCGCGTGTGTATGAGTGTGTGTCTGTGTGCATGTGTGTCTGCGAGTGCGTGTGTGTGTGTGTGTGTGTGCGTGTGCGTGTGTGTGTGCGTGTGTGTGTGTGCCTGTCTGGGTGTGTCTGTGTACCTGTCTATGTGTGAATCTGGTTCTGCCACCACCAACTCAACGTCGACCTGTTGTGACTGCTGTGCTCGTCAGCCTATTTCCACAAGCTTCTCTCCGCTGTTGCCCCGCACATCCGGCAGAGGTCAACGAAGAAGAAGACAAAGAAACCCGCACCGCACATGTGCCCCACATGTGGTGAGTCATGTCTCGAGCTGGAGTGGTTTGCATGGTTGGTTGCTTTATTGCTTGATTTCACTTCCATGTTTGCACAATGTGCTGCTGCTTGTCACCTTGTTTCATGTCCCTTTTTCAGCTTTCGTCTGCTTTGATGCTGAGTACTCACAATGTACACACACACACACACACACTCACTCACTCACTCACTCACTCACTCACTCACTCACTCACTCACACTTGCACACATGCCAGGCAAAGCGTTCACGTCAGTTGCACGCCTGTCCCGCCATCAGGCTCAACATCGCTCCAAAGCAGCAACGTCGTCATCATCAGCGGCAGCAGCACCCACTAGCAAGTCACCACCGTCATCATCCTCATCCTCATCCTCATCCACTGTCGCCGATTGGTCGAGCCCTGCTGATGCAGCGAAGCGGCGGGCAACATCGCCAAAGTCATCGGCGAAGCGCGCGCGCAGGCGCTGACACAGCAGCATGTGTGTACATGTGTGTGTGTGTGTGTGTGTGTGTGTGTGTGTGTGTGTGTGTGTGTGTGTGTGTGTCGGTCTGTGTGTTTGTGTGTGTCTGTGTGTTTGTGGTTTGTGTGTGTGCATGTGTGTGTTTCTGTCTGTCTCTGTCTCTGTCTCTGCATCTGTGTGTGTGTGTGTCTGTGTGTGTGTGTGTCTGTCTGTCTGTCTGTTTTGGACTGTGGTTTAGGTCGTAGATAGTGCTCGTGTTGCTCGGGGTGCGGTTGTATCGACTAATCAAGACGGGCAAAGCAGTAGCTCGTGTGTACACAAGTATCAAGACACAAAGCTAGCAGTGGTTGCTATCGCTGTCAGTATGAACGTGCCACAAGTAAAAGAACAGCCAATTGCACACGAAGCCTGTCGAACAGAAGAAGCCGCGTGTGGGTCAGCGACCATCGCTTGTTTCTTGCTTCCTCTGATGTCGCAAGCCACAACACACTGAAACATGAAAGCATTTACAGGGGTTGATTTGCCCCGCCCTCCCATACGACCATCATCATCATCATCATCATCATCATCATCATCATCATCATCATCATCATCATCATCATCATCATCATCATCATCATCATCATCATCATCATCATCATCATCATCATCATCATCATCATCATCATCATCATCATCATCATCATCATCATCATCATCATCATCATCATCATCATCATCATCATCATCATCATCATCATCATCACGCCTCCTCGTCGCGTGAGAGGACGGTGTCGAGGAGAGACTGGTGTGCGCGAACAATTTCGTCCAGCGGTCTGGATGCGTCCGGAGACTCCCCAATAGCACTCAGCAACACACGCACCGCCCGATCAGCGTGCACAGCTGGCTCTGGTGATGATAGCAAGCACGGTGGTACACACGTGGTGGCGTGAGTGGCCAATGAAAGGTTATGTTGAGTGTATGAACCAACACTACCCGCAAACACACCAAGCACTGCACACTGCAATCACACGATTGTACGGCGGACGCATTGCATCACTGCATCATGTTTCGTCCTCACCTGATCGCAGGAAACTCGACTGCCGTCTTCTTGCTGCGGATTGTGCAATCCACAGCGAGTTGAACTCAAGCGAATCTGAGCACACGTGTGTGTGTGTGTGTGTGTGTGTGTGTGTGTGTGTGTTGTGTGTGTTGCGTCAGCTGAGACGAAACGAAACACACAACACACAAGCAAAAGACATATGCATACGCCACCACAGAACGCGACAATGGTGCGGTGTGTACCTGGTGTTGGCACCTCCGCGTGTGCAACCTCAACGTCTGCGAGCCGGTCCATGCACATGTGGTGCGCGGCCTGGCAGTGGCTCCGAAACAGAAACCGAAGCTTCGTCGTCTGGGTGGTTGATGCGTGCGTGTGTGGGGGGGGGCATGTCGTTGAGACTCAGGGCTGCATGTGCGTGTGTTAGCATAGCAACCCTCACAAAGAAATCAAAAAACGTGCAAACTCAAACGTGCAAGAGCATGTGAACAGTTCGGCGCACACCTCCTTCACGTCGCTGCACTTGAACACGTACACCAGCGTCTGTTGAAGGCAACCATGTTCGTGCCCGTGTGCGGCGCAAGTAGGCGCATGTGAGGGTGGGCAATCAAGACACAAGCGAGTGGCTGACAGCAAAGTAATGACAAAACCAAGCACAGCGATGACGTTGTGCACACAACGGATGCGACTGTGCAAGGGCCCTGCTCTTCTTCACGCGCACAACACCTTTGGCGTCGTGGTCGGGTTGATTGCAACAGTGTACACAAAGACTGTGGGAACGGCGCATGCATGAGCGAGGACGATGAATACGCGAGGACGATGAAAGGTCAACTCACTCAACATGCAGCACGCACAACATAGCTTTCATGCGACAAGCCAACATACACATGCACAACCACACACACATTCACGCACACACACACACACACACAAACACGCACACACATACGGCACACACACGCACACACATTCACGTACACACACACATACAGTTACAGACACAACAACATTAAGTCACAGACGCCAGCACAGTGCCTTTGCTTCCCCTCTCTGGTTTCCATACGTTTGTCCATGTCGAAGCAGTCTGTGATCTGCAAGTATGTGTGTTCGAGCAGTACGGTGTAGGGCCGCTTTGCTTCATCCTCCCTCTTCCTCATCACCTGCAGCAGCAGCGGTGGTCGTGGTGGTGGATGAACCACAGATGCAACGATGGCCATTGTCACACCGCAGGACCAACGAGTTGACACACACACACACACACACACACACACACACACACACACACACACACACACGTGTCATCGCCACTGCTGACCTTGACGCCGTCCTGTGAGACCATGAGCACCAGGTTGTCTGTGCCGGTCGCTGGCGATTTCTTCATCGCATCTGCAATCGCGTGAAGGTCCTGTCGTGACAGCCCAGAGGTCACCTCTCCAACCCCTTCCTCATCCATGTCTGCACCGTGATCGCAGTGGTGGCAGGGTGGTGGTGGTGGTGGTGGTGGCAGCCATGTGGAAGGGGTGAGTGATGGCAATGTCGTAAGTGATGGTGGTGGGAGAGAAGAGGGGCGAGGGTGCATTGGGCGTGCAGGGAAAGAAGAGGGAATGGAATCATGCAGTTGTCGTGTTGTTGTTGGCGCAGCAGTGTGGGTAAGCGCACCGTGTGTAATTGTTCTGCATCCAAGGAACTTGACTGCAACCAAGCTCTGCCCTTTTTCCTCCGCCTGGTTACGTCGCAGTGGTGATGAGAGCTTGGCGTGAAAAGATCATTCGTGTCTCTGCATTGCACACGCACACACACATACGCATACGCATACGCATACACATACACATACACATCCACCTACACCTACACCTACACCTACACATCCACTTCCACCTCCACATCCACCTACATATCCACATACATATCCACATCCACATCCACATCCATATCCACATCCACATACACACACTCACGGCAGGGGCAGCGGTGTTTCCCTTGATGAGCTTGAGAGCAAAGGGAAGGTCCTCCCTGGAGACAACGTAGATGGTGTGTGTCGGGCAGCGACGGAGAAGGTCAAGCGGGCGGTCGTCAGCGAACACGCGCTCACACGTGGTGCCGCTCGCATCAACGCGCACCAGCCCAAACCTGTAAAGGGGGTGGACACGGCGTGAGGGGTTGAGAAGAGGGGTTGATTGAGAGGTGCGTGGGCCTTGGCATACTAGCACACTCGCACGGAGGCCGCTTAAACACGCAAGCACAGAGTTGACACATTCGCACATTCACATAAACACACCCACACGCACACCCACACACGCACACACAGACACACAAGACACACCCTCACACGTACACACACATACGCACGCACACAGAGATACAGAACTGCACGCAATACAATCGCATTCTGCGCACATGTCTGGGTCGCCGCGGGCATCTGTCTTTCTGCAAGCAAGGGCGATGAGCTGACGCCCTGTCGTGCTCTCGTCGACCTGCACGGTGGCAGTGATGCTGGCGGTGCTGATCAGCGACACATTCACGGGGATCACGCCGTTGCTGTAGTTCTGCAGGGCTTGGGTTGCTGACAAGAGGGACGACACATGGACGGGTGAGAAGGGCGTGGCACACACTTATCACTGCTAGTCAGATGTGCCGTGCACATGGCAGCACACGCACGCATGCTCTTGCACACGCTTGTGCATACACACACACGCTTGTGCATACACACACACATCCATGCACACACACACATCCACGCACACACACACGCATGCACACAGACGCACGCACACGCGCACGCAGGCGTGTTCGCCTACACACCGTGCATGCTCTCCTCGGCGTTGTTGGTGAGGAGAAAGAACTGGAACGTCTCCTGGAGCTTTGCAACCCAACTCTGCATCGACTCCTCGCTCGAGGCGCTCAGGTAGTACACTCGGCCTTTGAGCGTCTCGATCGTGAACACCTGCACTTGTGCAACACCATGGGTGAGGCCAGGAATGGAGATGGCGCTGGCTTGAAGTAGAACACAGTGACGCCTACACGCAGCACAACAGAGAGGTCACACACATACACACACATACACACACACATACACACACATACACACACATACACACACATACACACACAGCACAAACAACACACACGCACCCATGGATGCTTTGCTTTGCTGCTGCCAGGCCATGTCTGGTAGCCTTCGATCTTGACCACCTCCGTCATGTTGATGGACCCTTTTGGACGCTTCTTCGTGTTGGAGGTCTCATAGTAGCTGCAGGGAGGGGGGGGGGAATACGCGGGTTGGGGACAGGGTGAGGTGAATGAATGAGAGCGCCACAACGTAGATGGAAGTGGAAGAACGAGATGCGCAAGACAGATGGTAACACAGCACCACACAGCAAGGCAGTTGGTGACGCAGACGCGATCACGCGGGCATGCGCGCTGATCTGCGTACTTGAGGCTGGAGGAGTCGCTTCTGAGCACGAACCAGCGACGCTTGTAGCCTTTGAAGGCCGAACCGGCCTTGTTGAGCGGGGGACTCCTGCAGGTGAAACAGCGGAAGGTGAGCACCATCGTGATGGATCGCCGTCGGCGTCGAGGAAACGACCGGCGTGCAGGGTGAACAGCACACACACACACACACACACACACACACACACACACACACACACCACACACACACACACACACACACACACACACACACACACACACACACACACACACACACACACACACACACACACACACACACACACACACACACACACACACGCACACACACACACGACGCACACACACACACTTGTCAAGGAATCCAGCGCGGATCACAGCGTCGAGATAGGACATGATGCTTGCGGCCGGCGCTGCTGCTGGTGGGCCCACAGCAGGAGTGACGAGAACAGCACTACCACCTGCTCGCTCGCCTCTCAACACTCCAGTCCCTTCAGGCACGCGTCGTGTGATCGAGAGAGCAAGACGTGTGTGGTGCTGTGGTGTTATGGTGTTGTGGTGTCTTCTTTCTCTTCTTCACTTCCACACTCAACAATGAATGACGCGTGAATGACAACAACAACACAACGCACACACAACACACACACACACACACGACTGCTGACGGACCGGAGGGATGGCTGAGCTGCTGTCTGTGTGGGTGTCTGACCACCCAAGCTTCTCGCCAGAGGTGCTGGAGAGCTGGGTCAACGGCTTGTCAGGTAGGAAGGGGTGTGTGTCTGTCTGTGTGTCTGTGTGTCTGTGTCTGTGTGTCTGTGTGTGTGTGTGTGTGTGTGTGTGTGTGTGTGTGTGTGTGTGTGTGTGTGTGTCTGTCTGTCTGTCTGTGTGTCTGTGTGTGTGTCTGTGTCTATGTGTGCGTGTGTGCTTTTCTTTGTGTCTGTATGTCCGTGTCTGTCTATCTGCCTGTCTGTCTGCCCTGTCTGCAACTGTAACTACTATCCCATGCTGCACTGCACTGCACTGCACTGCCACCTCTACCCCTCCTCCACCACACTCACCCACACTCCCCGCCCTGCCCTTGTTGCTGCTCACAGTGCACGACGCTGCGGCACGGCGCCAAGACACAGCGGACTTCCCCCGCATATCCCCGGAGATTGTGCTCGCGGACACGCGCGACCAGTACATGCTGTTCCGGCAGCTGGAGCCCTTCTTTCACGAGCCGCGATCGCTGGCGCAGCAGGACATCTATCCGCTCTCTGAGGACGACTGCCGCCACCTGCTGTTCAGCTACTACCAGTACGACGCGAACTTCATGCTGCTCATCCTGGGCAAGCAGCTGTCCAAGGGCATGCGCAAGGACCTGGACGAGCTGGCTGACGAGACACACCTTGCGCTTACCAGCTGTAACCGCCAGTTTGACAACCTGCGGCGGATATGGAAGGCAGTCGAGGACCAGCCGGGCCCTCTCGTCAACGTCATCCAGCAGCAGTTTCTCCTCAACCCGTCCCAGGCAAAGTGCGGTTGTACACAACAGAGGGAGGAGGAAGGAATACATTATGGTCCAGTCCTGTGTTTGTCTCGCTGAGCGCGTGTTTGCCTGATTGCCTGGTGGGCGAGCTGATTGGTTGCCCATTTGCATCTGTGCGTGCATCTGTGTGTGTGTGTGTGTGTGTGTGTCTGTGTGCATCTCTCTGTGTGTGTGTGTGTGTGCATCTGTGTGTTGTGTACATGTGTGTGTGTGTCTGTTGTGTACATCTCTCCCTCTCTTTCTTTGTGTGTTGTGTGTGTACATCTGTGTTGTGTACACATGTGTTGTCCGCTGTGTTTGTACCACCTCACCTGATGCTTGCTGCCAACGGCACTACTCTTGTGCGTGCAACAGGGACTACGCAGCCATGGTGTTCATCACAGACAACAGATTAGCTGTTGACAAGAAGGTGTAACTGTGACTCAATGCAGCATCCGCACAGCTCCGCCCCCCCCCACCCCTTCTCTCTGAAACGTCGACACGAGCTCAAATCTTCCCTTCCCTATCCAACCCACTCACTACACAACTACACAACTACACAACTACACCACTAACAACTACCCCCTACACCACTCACTGCACCATCACCGCCGCCACCACCGCCATCATCATCACAACAACAATCGGCAGGTGCTGAGTGCGGTGCCGCTGTCGGTGTTCCTGGACTGCGCCCACGAGTTTATGCGGTCGTGGACATCTGTCAATGATCCACACGGAAATGACCAGGACCTCCAGAAGCGTTTCCTCCAGGTGCCCTGCTGTGATCACGTGATCACGCGATGTTTTGCGCTGGGATCAAGCTTTGATGATGTCTGTCTGTCTGTCTGTCTGTCTGTCTGTGCGTTTGTAACCGCTTGTGTGCTTCCTCTCGCGCCTTCAACTTACTCCTCGCGTGGCATCAACTCCCTCTCCCCCTACGCTCAACACCACACACGCAACACCGTCCCCCACAATGATCAGGAGCTGCGTGAGCTCAAGTACAACATCACGGGATCGCGCGAAGTTCTCGAACACTTCAACGCGTACGGCATGGTCGTGGTGGTCGTGGTGGTGGTCGTGCTTTGTGAGGTGTTTGGTTCGTGTCTTCGTTCCCATCCCCTCACACACACACACACACACACACACACACACACTCACACACACACACACACACTCACACACACGCACACACGCACACGCACACACATACACACATGGCATCACACGTACACACCAGGGCATTGCGGGCCAATCCTCCGGCCGTGTCCGCGTCGCGTCTTGCGCACGTGTACGGCGTTGTGCGCCGCGTAATTCAAATTGGCGGCGGTCTCTCCTACAGCAAGGAGTGGCGAGACATCTTCGAGGACCTCGAGCAGGAGGTGCGTGGGGAGGGGGGCTGTGAGTCTGTGGGTCTGTGTCTGCGTCTGTCTGTCTCTGTGTCTGTGTCTGTGTCTCTGTTGATGTGCATGTGTCTGTGTGTGTGTCTGTGTCTCTGTTGATGTGCATGTGTCTGTGTATGTGCGTGTGCGCACGCGCCCGTGCGCTCTTGTTGTGCTTGTTCACGCGTCTCATTTTTTTGGTCACCAAAATGCACGCCGGCAACAGGTGGTGCAACCGCTGCGAGAGGACAGGTGGACCCTGGTGGAGACAGGACAGCTGATGAAGACTATCAAGGAGAGCTATCACCACGCCCCCCTCCCTGCTGACCTGCGGCACCGCGCCGCTGTTACGTTTGACACGTTTATCGACACCGTCGGCCGCGTCATTGCCATCATGATGTGAACACACGTGTGTGTGTGTGTGTGTGTGTGTGTGTGTGTCTGTGTCTGTGTCTGTGTGTGTGTGTGTGTCTGTGTCTGTGTCTGTGTCTGTGTCTGTGTCTGTGTCTGTGTGTGTCTGTGTGTCTGCCTGCCTGTGTGTCTGCCTGTCTGTGTGTGTGTGTGTGTGTTTTTTTTTTGTCTCTGTGTGTGTCTGTCTCTGTCTATCTCTCCTTGTCTCCCGCCTGTCTGTCAAACTTCATTTTCAACGCCACTCCCTTCCCCCTCCTCTTCCTTTGCTTATGGTTCCCCGTTTAACTGTCGCTTAGCACCATCGGCACTGGTAGTTTTGTACTGCCGAATAGACAAACCTAGATCACATCACGTCATAAATGCACGCACGCACACACACACACACACACACACACACATACGCACGCACACACACACACGAACACCCAGGGTCGCAAACGACAACATTCATCGCAGAGTGATGGCGTAGATGGTGAACGTCTTGAGATCCTCCCCATCATCGCCATCATCGCCATCATCGCCATCATCGCCATCATCGCCGTCATCGCCATCATCGCCACCATTTGTGTAGTCGTTGTCGCGTCTCTCTGTCCCGATCATCTCCGTGTGCACGGGCACGACGCTGCATCCGCGCGCATCAAACGCCGCCAGCACCTCATCCGTCACTGCAAACGTCGATGAGCTGCACTTGCCACGATTCGTGTACGCCAGCAAGCACACGGGGCGCCCACCGTTATCCACGTGTTGACCTGGCTGTTGCTGCTGGTGTTGTTGTTGAACTAACTGCTCTCCTCCTCCTTCTCCTCCTCTTCTCGCTTCGTCTTGGTTCTCCTTCGGTTGTTCTCGTTGCTGCTGCTGCTGCTGCTGATGCTGATGCTGCTGCTGCTGCTGCTGTTGCTGCTGTTGCGAGTCGTTGCTGTCGGTGCGGTGGCTACCCTGCTCCGCCGCCAGCACGAGCAGGCCGTGGATGGTGTCGACAAACGGCACCACGAGCTCCTTGAGCCAGATGGTCTCCGCGGCGATGATGACGTCCGCCCGCCACGGCTCAATGCCCCATCGCGCAGCTTGGTCCTCGATGGACTTGGTCCAGTCCAGTGGCATGCAGGATGCCGTGCCGTGCGTCTTGCTGCTGATGCACGTGCTCTGCGGCCAACTGGCAGTCCTGTCGTCGTCGCTCATGTGGGGTGACGAAGCATCATGTGGAGACAGCACCTCTTCCGGTGCCTGCTCCTCGTTTGGAGCGTCGGCATTGGACACAATGTTCAGCTTCACAATGTCCTCCACAATTGGCTGCACATCTGTGAGGAGGACGTGGGCACCGTGAGCGGCGAGGGCAAGACCCAGCAAGCCGATCCCGGAGCCCAACTCCAGCACCCGCTTGCCGCGGAGGTTGCGGCTGCCCAAAACGTTCCGCAGCTGTTGGCGCTGCTGCTCACCAACCACGCCATCGCTGTTGTCGTGGCTGCTGTGGTAGCCGTCACTGGCAGCGTCCTGTGTCAGGAATCGGAGCAAGATGCGGCTGCCCGGCCAGATGGTGAAGCCCGTTGCCGCTGCCAGTGTGTAGTCTTCATCAAACAGGTTCACGTGCACTGCGTCGTCCTCCTCCACGTTGCGTCGCAGGATCTTCAATGGCTCATCCCGCACGCCAGCAACGGGCACTTCGATGGCCTTGTACTCGCTCGGCTCGTCCATCTTTGCGTGTCTATGTCTGCGCGCGCGCGCGCGCGTGTGTGTGTGTGTGTGTGTGTGTGTGTGTGTGTGTGTGTGTGTGTGTGTGTGTGTGTGTGTGCTCTGTGTGCTGTGTGTGTGTGTGTGTGTGCTGTGTGTGTGCTCTGTGTGCTGTGTGTGCGTGTGCTCTGTGTGCTGTGTGTGTGTGTGTGCTGTGTGTGCGTGTGCGTCTGCTTTGTTGTTGCCGTCTTCGGGCTGGCAAGTTGTGGCGATTTGTGAACAGGGTGTCGAAATTTCTGCAACGAAGCAGCACGATGAACAGCAACGAGGATGAAGATGGTGGTGGTGGTGTGAACGCGCGTCCTGCTGCGTCTGCTTTGGCGCCCACCACCGACCCTGCTTCCCCTTCCTCCTCTTCCAGTTCCTCTGATGCGGCGTTACCACCGTCGTCACCACTGTCGTCGTCACCCCACGCATCCGCCTCGTCGTCGTCGTCGTCGTCGTCTTCTTCTTCTTCTGCGTCGCCGAGCTTGTCGGCAGCACAATCACCTACACGAAGCGATGGAGACGACACCAGCATGGAGGCTGAGGACTCTCAGCCGGCCGTAAAGGTCGTGTTCCGCAACATGGCGCTGGCAAAGCGCCTGCGTGATGGCATTGTCAGACTCGTCACGGGGGCGATGGCGGAAATGGACACGGAGGAGATTGAGGCCCTGGACGCGCCATCAGCCGCGGATGATGACGCGGGCACGAGCGACACAGGCACAGCATCGCTGACAGCAGAGGCAGAAGCTCAAGCGCAGTCGCAAGCTCTACCACCCACATCGACAGACACCAGCGAAGCGGGTGCGCCATCCCTCGTGTTCTACACCACCCACTATGAAGACCTCACGGGCGTGGAGCTCGTGGACTTTGACCCTAACTTGACGGACGCGTATGCGCCTCCGCAGTACGAGCGGGCGCCCATCGGCGCAGATGAGCCAACGTCGCTGCTTGCCGGTACAGCGACATCCACACCAAAGGCCCAGACTCCGACTCCAGGCAAGAAGCAGGCACGCAGCGGCCCACACACGCCCGCGGTGACTGGTGGAAGTGGCGCGGGTACGCCGTCGTCGTCGCACCTCAAACACACCGACTACGCACGTGGTGCTCGCTTGCACCAGCGGTTACAAGACGCAGCACAAGAACGGCCCTTTACCATGTGAGCGCTACTGCTGCTGCTGTTGTTTAAGTTGTTGTTGTTGTTTAAGTTGTTGTTGTTGTTATTGTTGTTGTTGTTGTTGTTGTTGTTGTTTAAGTTGTTTAAGTTGTTGTTGTTGTTGTTGTTATTGTTGTTGTTGTTGTTGCTGCTGCTCTTGAGGGTTTGTCGTGTGTTGCTGTTGTTCGGTCAGTGTTCGCGAGCTCACCTAGGCTGCATATATGCAAACGTGCGTGTGCTACTGTGGCACCCTGTGTCTGGCTACTTGTTTTGTGTCGACACAGGAAGCAAATCTATGAGCCAGGTCGTCTCTCGGAGAACCTGCGCAAGGCCCTCGGCATCAAATGTAAGTGCATGTGTGTGTGTGTGCGTGTGTGTGTGTGTGTGTGTGTGTGTGTGTGTCTGGCTGTGTGTGTGTGTTTGTGTGTGTGTGTGTGTGTGTCTGCTGTGTGCCTGTGTATGTGTGTGTGTGTGTGTCTGTGTGTGTAATCCAAGGTAGCTCATCACGCATGTGCACCCTTGCCCCTCTCGGGCCTGTGCCTCGCACAACACGTGCACCGTGCTCTGCGTATTCCCCAACTCAACACCACACAACATTGCCTTCCGCCAGCCACGGACTTGCCCATGTACATTGCGCGCATGCGGCAGCTTGGATACCCGCCCGGGTGGAAGGGCGAGAAGGGGAGGCAGCGACTGCAGCTCATCAGGGGTTACGCCGACGCAATGACGATTGTGAACGGTGCTGGCGATGATGATGGTGGTGATCATGGCGATGGTGATGTGGCTGAGAAGGAAGGCGAGCAGAGCGCTGCAGGGAAGGGAGAGGAGGGGACGAAGGAAAAAGATGATAAGGAGGTGGTGAAGTATCCTGGCTTCAACGTGTCAGAGTCATTCGTGCACCCGAAGGATGGCGAAGAGGAAGCACAGCAGAGCAAAGCTGATGCCAGTGATGATGATGGTGATGATGGTGATGATGACGCGGTGATGGTGGTTGAGGAGAAGGAGGAGGAGGGAGAGGAGGAGAAGAAGAAGGGAGGGGCAGAAGGGGGGAAGGGGGAGAAGGGTACTAGTAGCCGTAGCCGTGACAGTAGTGGCGCCGAGCAGGGTGTGGAGTTGACAAGCAGCAAGACCGCACCCGCACCCGCGAACGAGAACGATGATGCGAGCAACCGCAGCGCTGCTGTGACCACTGCTGCCGGTGATGTTGCTGCTGGTGGTAATCGTGGTGGTGTGAAGCGCAAAGCGAGCACGAGCGACAACGAAGACATGGACATTGATGACGAGAACGAGGGCGCACACGAGGGAGGAGGTGTAGGGATGGGGGACAGTCACACCCTGCCACCCGCACCTGCAAGCAACACTGCACACACCGCAACGACAACAACAGTAGCGCCAACGGAAGACAGTGGTGGTGCCCAGAAACCAACAGCAGGGCCAACGCCAACAACAACAGCAGCAGCATCAGCAGCAACATGTGCGAGTGGTGCGGTTGAAACTGCACCGGACATGGCCGGCGGTTTGACGCGCAAGCGAGCAAAGATGACGAATGGTAGCAGTGGTGGTGACAGTGGTGGTGACAGTGGTGGTGATGATGGTGCGGTGAAGGATGCTGAGAGTGGTGGTCGAGAGGAGAAGAGATGTGATGAAGACATGGACGAGGACATGGATGTGAGCAGCGATGACAACGACAGCACTGACGCCACGACCACTGCAACTACGCCTGCTGCTGCTACTGCAACTACTACTGCTGCTGCTGCTGCAACTACTACTGCTGTTGCTGCCACTGCTGCGGCGACTGGTGCTGGCGACAAGAAGACGGTGGTGCCCACAGACGCTGGCACGACGAGAGATGGCAACACACACGAGCAGCCCGGACGCCCAACTGCATTGACCAAGGCGAAAGACGGCCACGTGGCAGAGGAGGAAGAAGGGCAGCTGCCATCAGCAACTGGAGCTGCCTTGATAGGAGATGCGACAAGTGGGCAACAACAACAACAACAACAACAACAACAACAACAACAACAACAACAACTACAACTACAACAGCAGCAGCAGCAGCTGTCGGCTGATGCACGCGGCACAAATGAGGACGAAATTGTGGTGTTGGACGATGGTGATGATGATGATGATGATGATGACGGCCAATGTGTTCGCGGTGGGGATACTGGCCGAGGTGTGGCACCTTCCACGCGCGACCAAGCCTCCAGTCGGGCTGCAGCATGGGGTGGGCAGATTACGATCGATGACGATGCTGGTGCCGACGGCAGTCGTGGTGATGGTGACGGTGGTGGTGATGGTCGTGGCCGACTCAGCCCTGCTGAACAGCTGCGGAAGACGTGGGTCAAGGCTGCGCGCGTCGGTGCAGCGTCCCCAGAGCACGACCGCGACTATGACAGCGGCGACGGTGGCAACGAGGATGGTGGCGATGATGAACGTGGTGAAGGCGGTGGCGACAGACACGAGACACGCGCCGCCAAGCAGCCGCAACAACACCAGCAGCCAGAACAGCGGAAGGCACGTCAACACCCGCAGGCACAACGACAACAACACAACCAACAGCACCAGCACCAGCGAGGCCGCGGGCTTGAGTCGGCGTTTTCGGACTTGCAGCGCGAATTGCTTGCAGGCAACACGGCGGCGTGCAGGGACATTGTGTACCGGCACCCGTTTGTTGTGCAGATGCGCGGGAAGGGTGGCGTGACGCCGCTGCACGTGGCATGCGCTATGGGCAACGTCGCCTTTGCACTGGAGCTTCTCACCATGGGCGCGGACGTGAACGCGCGCACCGATGCAGGCGACACGCCGCTGCACAACGCCGTGTTCATTGGGCGGGTGGACCTGGTTCGCCTGCTGCTTATGCATGATGCAAGGGTTGCTGTGACGTCGAATGACGGCGTCACGGTGATGGACATAGCAGCCACCAAGCCACCGCAGATGCGCCAACTCCTGCAGCAGTACCAACAGCGCCAGCAGTAGCAGAAACAACGCTCGCAGCGGTGGCACATGCATGTGATGGAGCATGTTGGAGGGGGGGTTGTTTGCAGTTAGTGTGCGTGCCTGTATGCGTGTGCGTATGTGCGTGTGCGTGTGCGTGTGTGTGTGTGCGTGCGTGTTGGTTAGACCGGTGGGCATGTAGCTTGCATTTTAATAAATGGTCCAATTTGATGGAATGAAAAAGTTGAGATGCGATGAGACACGCCATGGTGGACTGTGTTGGTTGTATTCGAGGAGGCATGTGTCAGTGCTGTGTCGGATGTGCGTCTAACTTCATCGCTTCAAGAATGTTTTTCTTATGAAGTGATTGGGTCATTCTGTGCACTTGCACACCAACAGCACAACAAACACAACAAACACAACAAACACAACAAACACAACAAACACAATCCTCTAATGACACACAACACGGCCGTGAATTCTATTGCAGAGAGTTCAAGGAGCCTGAGCAGCTCTAAGATCTCTTGGTCTCACTTGCTCGTACACACAACACAGCCAGCACACACACACACACACACCAAAAAAAAAAAAAAAAAAAAACACAGTCAAGCAGTCACGATGGGTGTAAGGTTTGGGTCGTCATTGTGGTGTTTGTTTGTGGAGGAGCAACAGACAGCAGACAGAACAGTTTTTTGTCAAGCGAAACAAGCAAGACACACACCGAAAGACCTGACCTCGAACCACGTCTCGATCCGTGATCCCTGCAACTCACACCCACAGCACACACCTCCCCTTCCCCTTCCTCTTCCTCTTCCTCTTCCTCTTTCTCTTTGATTCACGCCGAGCCCTGCCTGCCGCAATGCCAAGACCAGAGAACGTCAAGCTTGTGCTCCTTGGTGCGTGGGTTGGTTGCTTTGCTTTGTTTTGTGTGGATGGTTCCGTTGGCACGGAGAGCGAGCCATCACATCAACGCAACAGCGCAACCATCACCATGATGACTGGCGCCAATGCCCGCTGATTGGAAGCGTTGCATCTCACATGTCTTGCTTGCTTGCTTGTCTGCGGTCACCACCTGTCCATTGTACCAGGCGCCTCTGGCGTGGGCAAGTCAAGCCTGGTGCTACGGTTCGTCCGCGATGAGTTCAGAGACCATCACGAGATTACCGTCGGAGGTGCGTCCTGTGTGCACGTGTGTGTGTGTGTGTAGATGTGTGTGTGTAGATGTGTGTGTGTGTGTTTGTTGTTGTGCGTGTGCGTGTGCGTTGTGTGTGTGTGTGTTGTTGTGCGTGTGCGTGTGCGTTGTGTGTGTGTGTGTGCGTGCGGTGATCACCTTCTCGTGGCGTCTGACTGGTGTCGTCATCGTTTTTGCTGTTGCTGGTGCCACGTGATGACCTGTATAACCCTTTCTCACCCAGCAGCTGACTTTCTCTTGTTTGGTGGTTGCTTGTTGTAGCTGCATTCCTGAGCAAAGTTGTGGACCTGCCAAACTCGCGACAAATCAAGCTTGAGATTTGGGACACAGCCGGCCAAGAGCGTTACAGAAGCCTTGCGCCCATGTACTACCGCGGTGCACAGGTGCGTTGTTGTGCTTGTTGTGTGTGGTGTTTGTGTGTGGATGTGTGCGTGCGTGCGTGCGTGCGTGCGTGCGTGCGTGCGTGTTTGTGTGTGGATGTGTGCGTGCGTGCGTGCGTGCGTGCACGAGATTGAGTAGACACATGGCACAGAGTGTGATATGCTAACGATGACGACGACACACACACACACACACACACACATACACACACACACACACACACACACACACATGCACACACGAGACAGGGGGCGATTGTGGTGTTTGACATTACGCAGCACGATTCCTTTGCGAGTGCGCGGGAGTGGATCAAGGAGCTGTGGAGCCACACGGAGGAGGACAAGGAGAAGCCATTGGTCGTCCTCGTCGGAAACAAAGTGGACAAGAGCAACGAGCGCCAAGTCAACCCAGCGGTGAGCGCGCGCGCGCGCGTGTGTGTGTGTTTCAGCGTGTGTGTGTGTTTGTAAGTGTGAGTGTGTGTGTGATATTGTGCTGCTGCGCCCATTGCTCAAGTGTGCGTGTGTGTGATATTATGCTGCTGCGCCTATTGCTTAAGTGTGCGTATGATTGTACCGAAGTGCCATGCTGCCTCGTCATCACGATCATGGAGACACTTGATTCTACCTCCTCCTCCACCTTCACCTTGGGCATTGTATTCGTCTCATCTCGTGGTCCATTCCTTGTTTGTGCCTGCTTGCTCTCCCCTTTCCTTGCTTGTGCTTGTTGTTTAGGATGTGCAAGCGTTTACACAGGCAAACAACATCACTTACATGGAGACGTCAGCCAAGACAGCCGTCAACACATCTCGCGTGTTTGAGTACATTGGTGAGTTTCGCTCGCCAAGCACGTGACTGCTGTCCTGCACAACTGCAACAAGCACAAACGCACTTGCCTCGCAAACGCAACCCGAACAGCATACCACTCACGACCATGCACACACACACAACACAACGCAACACAACACAACACAACACAACACAACACAACACAACACAACACAACACAACACAACACAACACAACACACAACACAACACAACACACACAACACAACACAACGCAACACAACACACACAACACAACACAACACACACACACACACACACACACACACACACACACACACACACACACACACACACACACACACACACACACACACACGCTTGCAAACACAGCGGAGGAGCTTGTGAAGAGGCGTGCGTCCAGCGACAGCGATGACGACACGAGTGTGGACTTGGACCAGCCACAATCGTCCGGTGGCTGCTGTTAGTAACGTCCACCTCTCCGCCCCCCCCTTTATCTGTCGTTCCTCTTCCTGCGGCTGGTTTGTCATGTGACATGATGTGTTCCGTCCCTCCGTGCAACATCAACCACACCCGTGCTCCGCTGCACCACGTTATTCATCTTGCTGTCCTGCGTTTGCTTAGCTCGTCCCCTCAACCCCCAAACAACTTCCTCTACCTGCGCGCACACACACACTCTCTCCTTCCATGTTCTGCTTCCGCATTCCATCAAAGCACATAAACGAACCAAACACCCTGTGGTGTCTTCGCCATGATTGTGTACACACACTCGACTGTTGGCTCCCGTCGCCCTCGCGCACTCTTTCATGCATCTTTGTGTGTATAGATGGGTTTTTTCCTGTTGTATTTGAACAAACAAGTAAGGATCAAGGTGCTCATATCGGCAGTGCAAGACACACAGTGCTGCCGAGACAAAAAAGGCAGTCAAAACACCACGCGAATGAGCGGAGGAAGGAAAGGCAGTGGATCTAAGGCCGCATCGGGTGCAAGCGGAGAGCGGAGAGCAGAAGGAGTAGACGCAAAACGAGGTTGAGGACGATGCTCAAACGTGAAGAAAAGAATCAACATGCGCTTGGAGCAAGCCCCCGGGGTAGGTGGAAGGCGTTAACCGTAAGTGAGTCAACAAAACGTGATACGGGGTCGGTGAAACCAAACGAGCGACGGGTATTCCGAGCATGAACACACACACAAACAGGGACGGAATCAACAACCGTGCGTGTGAGGCCGTGAAAACAGCACACACGCGCACGGAAGCTGAGACCGCACATGCCTGTGCAAACAAACAAGCTCCCCGTGCCCGCCGGCCACATGCCCAACGCCGCCGCCATGCCAAGCCATTTTCCCTTGGGCACCTCGGGGCCCTTTTGTGGTGCAAACACACAGTGGCTCAATGACCACTGCGGCACCGCGCCTCTCCAACCCCTCTCCGGCCTCCGCCCACATCCAAAACGGAAGAGAAACCACTGACCATCCAAACCACACAACCAACACGTGACATCTCAGACCACCTCAAATGTCACACACAGAACACTGCAGAGCCCAGCACAACCAATACAAAACACCGTGATCCCCCGGACGCAAGTTACATCTCTCGCAAGCGAAACAAACACAAGGTGCTTCCACACACCACCCGCAAACCCTGCCCTTGGCTTCCAAAAGTGGCCATCCATCCCATCCACACGAGACTCGTCGGAGGCGAGGCAAGTGGGAACAGCATCAACAACCACCAGAGGGAGAAAAGAGCAAAGGAAAGAGACTAGAATGTGGCCACCAGCCACCTCGGTCACAACAACCAACCCACAAACACAAAACAGCCAACGCGCAGCGCGTGCCGTGAAGGCACGTGACTGCGCGCCAACCTCTCATGATGTGGGCGAGCGCGATGAACGAGACAACTGGTAAGGCGAGACGCCCGGATAGCAAACGCAGCGGGTGCGTTTACTTGGAGCGAGCGCGCATCTTGCGGCGCTTGCGCTTCATGCGGCGCATACGCTTCTTCCTCCACTTGGCACGCATCTGTTGTGTTGGAACGGAGAAAAGGAGTGTGTGTTGAAGAAGTGGGTGTGTGAGAGCGTGTGAGTGAGCGCAGAAATAACAAGAAAGAGGGACACACAGAGAGAGGGTGGTTGAGCAGACACGCATGGACACAAAGGGCAGTGGCACAGCAGGCGTGGACACAAAGGGCATGGGGACAGCAGAGAGGCAGGGTTGATTCATATCCATCCATCCATCCACATCACGCGCACACGCAGAGCTGTTCACGCACCTTCGGGGGTTTATCTGGGTTGATCTCAACAACAAAAAAAAAGGCACAAGCACGGCCGTCTTTCTGACGCACACGCTGTTGATGGCCGAGTGCGCACTTTGAAAACAGGACGCGGTGTATCAACGATGGTGAGATTACTACATGAAGATATAAACGTAAAGCAGGCGCAATGTACGTTTCGTGGATTGCGGATTATTAGACGAAGATATCAATGACTCTTCCAGAATCGCAGATTTCAAACAATCAACAACACAAACAGTAGCAAATCTAGGACAAATAGGACGCGCCATACATGTGGATCAAAAATAGGACAACGTTGTGCAAGTCCTGCCAATGCACGTTGTGCGCGCAGATGCATGTGCATGTGCGAAATCGTGCACACAGCGCAGCAGAGCTTGCTTGCTTGCTTGGCTGACGTCATGCTGCACTGCGATAAGGACACTTTCACAACAGTCACACACTTACTTATGAACGAACACACGCACACATACACACACACAACGCAACACACGCACACACACACATACACACACACGCACGCACACACACACGCACACACACGCACGCACACACACACGCACACACACGCACACACACACACACACACACACACACACACACACACACACACGCACACACACCACCATCATATGACACTGCCATTTATTAACTTGTTTCCTTCCCAGCTTCCCTCGTCCAACTTCTGCAAGCGAGCAAGATGCAGCGGTTCACACGTGCGTTTGCGGTGTACAACCACAAACAGTTTGGGGAGATGACGCGGCAGGCCATCCTGGCACTGCCTTCCATCCCAAGCATCTCCCCTTCCTACCCAAAGGGGCCTTTCCACTTTCGCGATCGGGAGTACTTCATCGTCGAGTACGAGACCGACATCAAGCGCCTCAAGCAGGTCGTGCCGTGGCCCCTCGTCCCAGCATCCAACCGCATCCTGTGCGTTGCAGGTGGAGAGAGGGAGAGAGAGACTGTCTGTGTGTGCGTGTGGGGGGTGTGTGTGTGTGTGCGTGTGCGTGTATGTACGTATGAATATGCGAGTGTGAATGTGTGCGTGTGCGTGAACATACATGGATGTGTGTGCGTGTGCGTGCGTGTGTGAAGTTCATGGATGCGTATCAGTGCGAGTAAGTACATGACCTTGATGTATGGGCCAACTTTGCAGCCCATGATTCAAGGCCCTATCCTCACTTGCACAAGGATGCACGCTACCTCCCTAACTCTCTTCCTTTCCTCTCCGATCTTTCACCCTTATTTCCTCGCCATCATCACACAACAACAATGCAATCCCTTTGTGCAGGTACGAGTGGATCAACATGCCTGACTCGTCTGGCTTTGGCTCTTACAGCGAGTCTGGCTGCGTCGTGCCCTGCCTTCTCAACGGGGAAGCCGTCAACTACACTCTCTCCATGTGCGTATGTGTGTGTATGTGTGCGTATGTGTGTGTATGTGTGTGTACGTGTGTGTACGTGTATGTGTGTGTACGTGTGTGTATGTGTGTGTACGTGTATGTGTGTGTACGTGTATGTATGGGTTTGTCAGTGTGCATTCAGTGTGCATTCACTGTGCACACAGCTGTTGCAACTGCTCTCAAGCGGCTACATACGCCCACAAATAATTCATCCTCGTTCACTGTTCCCCGCCACCACGCAACCACTCAACCACTCACGTGCTCTGATAGGTACCTCGATGACGAGCCGCCAACGGCAGCCGGCCGTGAGCTGTGGGGATTCCCCAAGCGCCATGCCATGCCATCACTTCGCACAGAAAAGGACACGTTGGTTGGTGTGCTGAAACACGCAGGTGCGATGCCTAGGCTTGTGTGTGTGTGTGTGTGTGTGTGTGTGTGCTCTGATTGTGAGTGTTGGTCGTACATGTACTTCTTGTACATGCTTGTGTGTACATCTCCCTCTACTGCCTACGTTTCCCGCTGCGTTCCCCATCGTATTATGCCCGCAACACATCGTCCCATTCAGCCCGTTGTCACTTGCCTACATCTCTCACAACTCACGCCTCGGCCCATCAACCCCCAACACGCGTGTGCGCGCAGGGCAACTGGCGGTGATGGGCACGATGGCATTCAAGCACCAGAGGACAGACCCTGCACTCGCTGCGGACAAGCTCTCTCGCACCACGTGCAACCTCCGTCTGATCCCCGATGTCAACGGCGGCCTCACCAGCGCACAGCTCGTCGGCTTTAACCTCGAAGACGTGGAGGTTAAAGAGGCGTGGACAGGTGTGTAGCTGCCCCTTGTGTACACTTGAAGTGGTGTTATGTGTGACTTTGGGAACATGGGCAGTTTGAGATTCAAACACACACACACACACACACACACACACACACACACACACACACACACACACACACACACACACACACACACACCACCACCACCACCACCACCACCACCACCACCACCACCACCACCACCACCACCACCAATAATAGGCCCTGCAAGGTTGCACTTGAACCCACACGTGACGGCGCCGGCCTCAAATCTTCCGGTGCGCAGGATCATTGGCGGCACACACATGAAGACCAACCTCACGCTGCCACTGGGGCGCGTCATGTACGACTACAAGAACCCCGCCTTTGAGTACACGCCTGACGACCACGACGACGACCATCTCTCGCCAGCCAAGGTGCTGAAGGCGCCCGCCATGCCGATTATGGCGCCGTCGTATCCACGCGTGCTCAACCACATCCACAACCGCGAGTCGCTGTTCATCAAATACAACACGACGCGCGAAGCCATCCTCGCCAACCTCCCGTACAACGTGGAGGCAAACGACGACAACGTGGTGCTGCTCTCCTGGAGCAAGACTGAGAGCACGGGCATTGGCGCGTATAACAAGTTCAACGTGCATATCCCCTGCCGCTACAACGGCGAGGAGTTTCTCTTTGCGGTCCTGAGCGTGATGGACTCGGGTGTCACCCTCAATGCCGGCAGGGAGATTTATGGCCAGCCGTGCAAGTACGGCTTCCCTTCCCTGTTTATCGACAAGGACACGCTCAGCGCCAAGCTTGCATTTGGCGAGCAGGAGTGTGTGGCTGCCACATCCCTGTATAAGCACAGCCCCATGACCCTCCATGACGCAGCCATGCTTGCAAGCACGCCCGAGCTCAACCTCAAGTTCATTCCCGGCGTGAGCGGCGCGCCCGATGTTGCGCAACTTGTTGCCATCCGCTACGGGCAGCCGGAACTCGACACGTCTGTCATGCACAAGAGCACAGCACGTGTTGCGCTCTTTCCGCACGTCAACGCGCCCGTGGCCGACTTCCTTGTCATGGAGCAATCTGACTGCTGGGCATATCACATGCGCATCAAGCACTGCAAGCTGCAGGGGGAGGTCGTGCACGACTACCTGCTGCAGGAGTAGCGGCACCAGTGGATAGTTCGAGGCCACGTGGAACAAAGCGTGCGGGGGGTGGCGCACGCGCGCGTGTCTGGACTCGTGTGTGTGTGTATGTGTGTATGTGTGTGTGTGTGTGTGAGCTTGCGGACTGCATGTGCGTGCGTGTTTGAGTGCAAGTAGGATAGGGTTTGTGCGCGTTCCAATTCGATGTGCGTGCTTGGTATGATGATGAGAATGTTCTAATGCAGGCTTGACTGTGTGAATATGGATTTTCTGACTGACTAAACCGTGGCAACGGAAAGGGAGGAAGCAAGAGAGCTGGGTGAAGCCGGGGAGTGGGTAACCCAGTTGGAGGGGTGCAGCGACAGGAAGGGTGGGGGAGGAGGAGGAGAAGGGGGGAGGACATCGTGGGACATGGTCGCAGGCAAACACACAAAGCACACACACACACAAAGCACACACACACACACACACAACCATACACAGACACTGACACACACAGACACTGACACACGCTTACACGCTTAGATACACACATACACACACACACACACACACACACACACACACACACACACACACACACACACACACCACGCATACATCAGTCGACGCTGCGAATGCCAACGGCGGCGAAGAAGAGGAGGAGGAGGGTCCATGCAAGCACAACAACAAACCCAAGCCACACATCCTGGTGCAAAATTGTCCAGCCACGAAGCATGAGGGAGCGCATTGCCTCTGCTGCCCACGTGGTCGGCATGATATAGGAAATGTACAGCAGCCATTGCGGTATTGCCTGCCAATACGAAAGGGGGGGGGGGTAGTAGGAAGGAATAGGTGTGCTGTGTGTGAACGTGCGAAAACACAAACACACGTGCGTGCAATCTGCTTTATCATCACGAGACACCACAGGAATACACACACACACACACACACACTGCACGTGTCGTCATGGGTGGTACCTGGAGGGGCCAGAGGACGCCGCTGAGGAGGAGAACGGGGAAGAAACTGCCCATGGCCACCTGAATCGCGCCAACTTCGCTGTCAACCTGTGTCGAGATGAACAGCCCGTCTGGCAAAGTTGGGGTATTAGGGCCCCGGGGAGGGGGGGGGGGGGCTCAAGGATGAGCAGAAGAAGGAACCTGGAGTGTGTGCTGGTGATAGCAGCACTTGCAGCACACACACACACACACACACACACACACACACAGACACACCTACCCCCCCCCACACACACACGCATCAACTCACATGCCATGCCGCTGAGGCCAAGCATCATCATGAGGACGATGACCCAGGCCAGCGAGCCGACAATGGGCAGTTTGAAGACAACGAGCGCAAAGAACAGCACAGCGGCCGTCTGCCCAGCCAGGATCCAAAACTGCGTGGCCATGTGGGCCAGAATCACGTCGCTCGCACGTGCGCCGGCCACCCACACGCGGTCCAGCAGCCCTTCCTTGCGGTCCAGCACGAAGGACATGGCCGTGAGCCCAATCGCCTGCGCAAACGTGATGCTCACCTGGCATATGCAGCGGTGGGTGTGAGTGAGTGAGGGGGAGGGGGTGAGGGGGTGAGGGGGAGTGAGTGTATGCGAGTGTGTGTAATGCCGCTAGACGGACGAAAACCAACATACAGCATGTCTCATACGCAGCAAAAAGACAACCACAAGCTTCGCTGTCACACACACACACACACACACACACACACACACACACACACACACACACACACACACACACCATGATGCCTGGGGCAACAAAGTCTGTGAAGGTTGGGTGCAGCTCGCCGTAAATTGGTTTCTCAAAGCGGACGGGGCTGGCAGCCAAGGTGGACAGATTCCCGAGCACAGCATCCACCATTCTGACACCCCGACGTCACAAAGTGGCGAAAAGGTGAAGGCAAGGCAACACAGGGGAGAATGTGGGTTGTCACGTTTGGGGATGATGCTGAACAAAGGAGAAGGAGGACACAGAAGGTGGAGGGAGGATACACATAAGTGCACACGAACACACAAATACACAACAACAAATGCACGCACACATACAGAACACGTACAGGCACACGCACGCGCGCGCGCACACACACACACACACACACACACACACACACACACACACACACACACACCACACGCATGACCGTGCTTACGATTCGAATGCGGCTGCAGTTGCTGCTTCGATGGCGATGGAGATCTGCTGGTTGCTGTTGTCGAGCGTCAAACTGATCTGAGACCCCGCAATCACAGCAGGGGAGTCGTCCTTGGATACTACACACGTTTTGTGCATGTGTGTGTGTGTGTGCGCGAGCACAATAATGGTCAACATCAAATGGGTCGTTTCAGCTGCGTGAGTGCGCATGTGACAATTCATGAAGCAACGGCGTTCATCATCCTCCAACGTCAGCCAGGCGGCCAAACCAGACAAAAAAAATGCCTGCACACATACATACACCTACACACACAACGCTCGCACAACACAATGCCTACGCACGTCGTTTGATGATGTCTTGGGAGTAGTTGCCTGCAAACTGGTACACGCCCCAGCAGTCGCCACGGTGTATGCGGTGCACGGCCTCCTCGTACGTGGCAACAGGAACCTGTCAGTCGTGCACAGTGACGATGATGACAATGATGATGGTGGTGTTGGTGGTGGCTGGGTTAGCTTGTGACACTCAGCAACAACAAAGGAGGCAGACAAAGCCGAGCGGAAATGCCGTACCCTCATGTGAATCGCACATGCAAACATTCGCACACACAAAACCAAACATAAACACACGTACAAACACACACGTACAAACACACACGTACAAACACACACGTACAAACACACACACACACACACACACACAATCACAGGTACGTACCTGGTGGATGGTCTTGTTTGAGAGCTGGTGGAGGTAGATGTCTGAGAAGCGAAGCGTGTGGGCGGTGGGCAGCGAGACGTTCACCCCCACATCGTCGTTCACGACCGCCATGCGTAGGCCTGTCGGGTCCCGGCCAATGGCAAGGCAGTACAGGATGATTTGCAGGGCTGGCAGCATAAACTGGAACACGAGCAGGCCGTAGTTGCGTCCGAGGCGTAGCATGTTCTTTACCAGCAGCGCGTAGAAGTTGCGCCACGTCGGCAGGCCAGGCCCCCATCGGCGCCGGGAGGACTGAGTCTTCTTTGTGCGTTTAGCACGGTTGGGTCGCGCTCTGCCAGCGCCATAACGCTCCACAGCGCCTTCCCCCTTTCGCGACCTCTGTTGTTGTTGCTGTTGTTGCTGCTGGTGGTGGTGGTGGTGGCGGCTGGATGCGAGGAGAGGCGCTGCCTCGTCGATCTCCTGCCCAGTGGCGTTGAGCGAACCCGTATCGTTCACATGCGCAGCATGCGGGCGCCCCTGTGTGCCATGGGCGCGGGTGTCGGCATGGCCTGCTGTCTTGGAGCGGCGATCAAATCGAAAAGAACGACGACGTTGTTGCTGTTGCTGCTGCTCCCCTATTTCTTCCTCGCCTTCCTCCTCCTCTTCTTCCGCTACCGCCACCACTGTGCTCTGCTCATCTTCCCTCTGGCCATCACCGCCACTGCTGCTGCTGCTGCTTCCTCGACTTCTCCAGTCGCCAGCGACGCGGTCCAGTGTGCACAGGTCATCGTGGGTGTTGGCGCCGATGCTGTGCGTGTGGCACAGGGCAAGAAAGGTGTCTTCGAGAGACGACATGTGCAGGCGGTGGATGAGGTGCTCTGGCTCCGCCTCCGCCAGCAGCCGCCCCCCACGCATCATGCCAACGTACATCGCCTGCGATGGCGAGTGAGTGAGTGAGTGGGTGAGTGAGTGTATGAGTAAACGTGGTGTCATATGGTCTCATGTATGGCTTCCACCAGCAACATCAACGTATGCTCGCCCTTCACATCAAATACGACGACGACCACCAGTGCCACCACCACGACAACCACGACCACCACAACCACGTGAGGGCACCTGGCGCGCCTCCTCGATGTAGTGCGTGGTGATGAGCACGGTGGTCGGTGACGGGCCGTTGGTCAGCTCGGTCAGGTGCTGCCACAGCCGCGCACGCAGAATCGGGTCAACCTGTGGTGTGTATGTGTGTGCGTGTATGTGTGTGTGCGTGTGTGTGGGTGTGTGAATAAGAGAACGGGATTACCAGATCTGGCCGCGTGCAAGCAGCGTTTGCAAGACACAGCACAGCGTGCGCATAAGTACGTACGCCAACGGTCGGTTCGTCGAGAATCACGAGTGGGGGACTGTGGAGCAAGGCAGCCGTGAACGACACTGTAACACGCACATGCGCACGTGCAAATTTGTTGAGGAGTGACAGAGAGTGAAGATGGGAGCTCATAAGTACACGTGTACACACACACACACACACACACACACCACACACACACACATACACACACACACACACACACACACACACACACACACACACACACACACACAAGAGCACACACAAGAGCTCACCGCGTCGCTTCTGGCCACCGCTCAGGTTTGCTGTCGTGGGCATGCGCGTACAAGAGGGGCGGGCGACGGGTTGAGCTGATGGAGATGGGATGAAGTTGCGACGGAGGCGTGTCTTTCACGTCGCGATGACATACAAGCACAGCATCAAAGACGCAGACACAGACACGCACAGACACACACACACACACACACAGACACACACACACACACAAATACACACACAGACACACACAGACACACAGACACACACACACACAGGCGCAGACACACAAACACGCAGACACACACACACAGACACACATACAGATGTATCGGTCCTTGAGGTCGATGATGTCGAGGAGGGAGAGGAGAAACGTTGCTCGCGGTTCAAACTCGTACGTCTTGAGGTTATGCAGGCTGTCGACGGCATGGCATGACGCGTGCAGTCGCGCAGATGAGCATTGGCAGAGACTTGCAGGAGTCCCTGTGTGTACAATCAAGACGTATGTTGCAGATGCGTTCACACACTCACATGCAGAGGGAGCCGAGAGAGGGAGAAGGAGACAGAGGCAGGGCCAGAAGGAGAGGCATATGGGGGGACGCATAGACGTGCAGACCTCTCCGCACACAGTTAACACACTCACAGAACACACAGACACACAGACACACACACACAGAAACACAGAAACACAGACACAGGCACAGGTACAGACACAGACACAGACACAGACACACACACACACACTGACCGAGCACAGAAGCGAAGGGTTTCCCAGACTGTGAAGGAAGGATACAGGGCAATCTCCTGTGGCATGTATCCAACGAGAGACCCAGGCACGGCGTGGCCCTGCGTGTTTGGCTCCTTGCCCAGGACAGTTAGGTGGCCTTCATCAATGGTCAGCCTCCCAACAAGGCACTTGAGCAGCGTTGTCTTGCCGCAACCGCTTGGCCCAAGCAGGCCGTAGATGGACCTGCAGCAGCCATGCCCACACGTACAGTCATCACGAGAATCACACGTGAGCATCCAGCACACGGCCACGTTCAAAGGCCAGAGACACTGACACAAGAGTCACGTGCGGAAGCAAAGGGAGGCAAAGGGAACCAAGCTGCGTGTGCTTTGCGTGTGCGTTGTGTGGCTGTGTGCACGTGCGCATACGACCGTACCCGCGTGGGATGGTGAGGTTGAGGCCTTGCAGCACCTTGACCTTGGATGACCTGCGATGATTGATGACAGAGCGTTGCGAGGATGAACAAGAAGGTACACTCAGCCACACGCGTTTCAGACAGGGCAAAAGGCGCTGCAAGAGACGCAGGACGTGTGTGCTCCCACTTCACCCGTCCCGACACACCTCTTGCCGTAGGAGCGGTGGACGTTGCGAGCAACGATGGCTGCACCAGCACCATCAGCACCACCAGCGGTGCCGTCACCACCGTGACCATGCATCTTCGTTGCTCCGTTTGTGTGCGATAATTTCGTGCGTCTTGCTGTCCTCCCCACAGACAGTGATTGTGAACGGGCCCTTCTTTCTTTTGTTTGACACACACGCAAGCCAACATACATACACAGGCACAGGCACATGCATACACGCATGCCGACAGATAGATCCCCCCCTCTTTAAACACACACACACATACACATACACGAGCGATCAATAGACGGCTGCGCCCGTGAGGAAGAAGTCAATGGGCACGAGATTGAGTGGCTTGGTGTTTGGAACTGCTGCACCGACAGCACCGCCCGTCGCTGCCACCATCGCCTCCTGGCTTGGGGGCACAAAGTTGCCAAAGCCAAGCAGGCCCTGCGTCGGCGGGCCGCCGGGTGTTGCGTTGTTTGGATACAGGGCGGTGAAGAAGCCATAGCCAATGGGCTCGCTCAGCAGCGCTGTCATCACGTACTCCGGGGCATGCGCTGGAATGGGGGCTGTCACCTGTGGCTGGAAGCGGCCCTGATTGTCGTACAGTCCATACGCAGCGAGGCGCGTCTTGGTGCCGGTGTTGGTGCCGGTGTTGTTTTTGGCCGTGGTGGTGATGACGGTGCTGCCGCCGAGGTGGTTGACCCTGGTTGCGTCGTTGCACCACGCCCACATGGAGGTGACCAGTGGATCCGAGAGCAAGAGGTGGCCCGCAATCTTCTGCTGCTTGAGGTCCACGTGCACGATGGCATCGCGCGCACCCGCGTGGCGGATACCCACCCACATCGTCTGCACGTCGGAGCAGTGGGTGGAGGAGCCCGTGGCAATGACACCGTCAGACTGCAGGTAGCTGCTGAGGTCGACGATGATGGAGACGGCACCCGCGTACACGCGGGCAACCGCGGCGTACTTGGGCCGCTGAACGATGGTGTAGGCGGCGCCGCTGGCCATGTCCACATGCAGGTTGTGTGCAGACACGCCCTGCAGCGTCGTGCGGCTCGTCAATGCACCGTCAACCACAGACACGTTGTACAGCCAGGAGGCAGTGCCGTTTGAGGTGAGCAGGAGGCAGAACGTGCCGCCAGGGCGACAGCGGAAGGCGTCCACGGCCACAGCCTCCCCTGGGTTCTCCAGCATGACGCGGGCCACGTCCTCGCCGCGCTTGCCAAGGCGGTGCAGGCGGAACAGGGACACGTTGCGGGCATCATTGGGTTCAGGGGTCATGCCAATCCAGTGGATCTGAGCCGTCGACGGTGCCGGACACAGGCACAGCACCACTGCCAGCGTTGCCAGGAGCACCGCAGTCGCAGCACTCACAACATTGGCAGCGCGTGCAGGCGCTCCGGTCTTCCCTACCATCACACCAAGTGTGTGTGTGTGTGTGTGTGTGTGTGTGTGTGGTGTGTGTGTGTGTGGTCGTCGTTGTCACGATGATGACAGGAGCTGCGTTGATCAGTGGTGGTCGCCGCGATATTGGCTGTGGTTGTTTGCCCTTGTTGTTTTTGCTGCTTTGCCCCCGCCCACCCAAATATTGCCGTGTTTTCGCGTAAATCTTGGTACGATATTCTACAAGGTGACACCTTTCCCACACACCGCCCGACACAAACAACACAAAAGCCGCCTCTATTGTGTTGTGTGTGTTTGTTTGTTGTGGAACAAGTCGTAGCTGGTGGTGTGCTGTGCCATCCGTGGACCATCCCGACTTTGTGGAGGCTGTGCAAGCTGGTGGTATCATCACATCTTCACATCACGCCTGCTGCGCAACAACGCTAGGTTGGTTAAGTGTGTATAGCAGCAGAGGAAGGGGAGGGGTTTGCATGCTTACGCGAAGAAGGAGGCGGTCATGTTCACATGCGCACATTGCCACGCCCCAAAGTTGCAGTTGATGGTGTACGTTTGTGTGTTCGCTTTGGGGGGCGTGAGTCTGCCCTCGATGCTGGCGTGAAGCAGTGGCGCTTGTGGCCCCACTGGTGGTGCTGTGGTGTCCCCTCTCATGAATGTTTGCGGCCTCCGTTTAGCTCTGCCGTGTGAACATGCGTGTGAGGTGTTTTGTGACTGACATTTCGGCACAATGGTCGATGTGCATGCAGCAGGAAGCAAGCAAGCAAGGCAAGGCAAGCGAGCAGACAAAAACACACCACCAGACAACGGCAGCATGAAGCTCAAGACGGGTCGTGCTGCCGCCAAGTTCCTCAAAGCCCTGCCAGATGCCAACGGCACCATTGAAATCGGGGATCACATCAGCGGGCAGGTGCGTGCTTGACACCAGGTGTTTGTTCTCCATGCGAGCGTTTTGACCACCATGAGTGCGTGCTGCAAAACGGATGTACTTACCTTGTGTGTGCTTTGTATGTGCGTGTGCGTATGTGTGTCTTGGTACGTCTGTGCGTGGCAGGTGTATGAGGCCAAGTTCCTTGGCACCAAAGAGCTTGTCGCTGTCAAGGTGAGAGCACCTGCGTGGCATTTTAAGGTTGCATGTGCACGTGTGTCTATGTATGCGTGTGTTTGCGGGTGAACTGGCAACAAGTTTCGAGCCTCACTCATTTGATTTCGTGCTGTGTGTAGGTGTGCGAGGTCGCTGTGCACCACGACGATGACGTGGAGCGTGTCTGCAACGAGATCCAGGTACAGACAGTGCGACCACGTGGCGTGCGTGTGTGTGTGTCTGAAAATGACAGGAGGACAGCACTGGTTTCCCGTGATATTGCGTGATGTGACCAGCAACACTGACGTGCTATGTTCTACCGTGCCTTGCTGTTGGTTGCGGTCTATCCACAGGTGCTGGAGGCACTGCAAGAGGTTGACAATGTGGTTCGATTCCGCGGCGCGTACCAGAGCGCTTCCCTCTCCTCCAACTCCAATTCCAGTGACACCACGTACGTGCATCCCATTGCTTGTGCACTTTGTGCCCTACTTGTGTGCGTGTGTGTGCATTTGTGTGCATTCGTGTGTGTGTGTGTGCACTTGTGTGCATTTGTGTTTGTGTGTGCGCGCATGTCTGTGCATATATGCGTGTGTGCATATGTGTGTTTGCGTATGGTTGTATGTGTGTGTGTGTGTTTGTTTCAAGCGAGCAAGGGACGATCGAAACGCTTTGTTGTTGTGTGACTCCTACGGCTCACCAACAAACAACTCGCCTCAAACACCAACCAGGCTGACGGTGCTGGTGGTGACGGAGTACTGCGACTACGGCTCGCTGCAGGACTTTGCACGCCACCTCCGCAAGGCCGCAGCAGGCAACAACATCTCTCCAACACACCCCATGGCCAACGTGAGGCACTCATTGCAATGCAGCCGTGTTTGTGTGTGCACGTGTGTGTGCACGTGTGTGTGTGTGCACGTGTGTGTGCACGTGTGTGTGTACACGTGTGTGAACATGGTTATGATTGTTTGTCTGTTCGCTGTGGATTTGACGCTGACGTTGATGGGTCGGTCACATGTTGCCACGCGTGATGAACGCGACAGGGCCTGGACGAGAACACCATCGCGTACATTCTTCGCGAAGTCCTCAGGTCTGGCGTCGCATCGGTTGTGATGGTGTGGAGAGTGTGATGGTGGTGTGGAAGTGTGATTGGAGTCGACTCTCACGGCTACGCAGTGACATGATGTTCACGCGCACTTTCGCTCACACACACACACACACACACACACACACACACACACACACGACAGGGGCATTGCTGCAATGCACTCGCGTCACCTCATGCACCGCGACATCAAGGGCGGCAACGTGCTTGTGCGGTCAAGCGGCGACATTCTCCTGGCAGACTTTGATACTGCCGCCAGTTTCAAAAAGGACGAGAAAATGACCGGATTCGGCGTTGTTGGCACGCCGTACTGGGCCGCGCCAGAGATTGCTGCATGCGCATACCCACCGGTGTGTATTCTGTGTATGTATTGGCGTGTGTGTGTCAATGTGGATGCTGTTGTTGAACACCTAGCTCCCATGTGGCCGTGTGTCAAGTTCGCTCTCACTCTCACTCGTTTGCAAGTTCAATAACTCTCTCACTCGGACACACACACACACACACACACACACACACACACACACACGTACACACTCGCATTCAACACACACGTACACACGCACACACAACACACACACACCCTCTCCTTGTGTAGGGGTATTCGTACGACGAGCGGTGTGACGTGTGGTCGCTGGGCATCACCGCCATTGAGGTGGCACAGGGCGGTCCCCCACTGCTCGGTCGCGTTGATCCAGAGCAAGCAGGCGACCGTGTTCTCAAACAGCCGCCGCCCGCACTTGCAGACAGCGAGCACTGGACACAGGTATGCCTTGTTGTGATGCTTGTGATGCTTGCTTGTTTGTTGTAGGGAAGTGGTTGGTTGATGGTTGGGCGTTCGCTCTCTCTCTCTCTCTCTCTCTCTCTCTCTCTCTCTCTCTCTCTCTCTCTCTCTCTCCCCCCTCTCTCTCTGCACGTGCATGCGCGTGTGCTTGTGAAGGTGTCCGTTCTGCTGCACAATGCCATTCGCGTGCTTGCTGCTTTTGCTCGCATCGCCCCCCACACCACCCACCACTCTCACCCCTTGCCCCCTTTTCCAACAGACGTTCAAGGACTTTGTATCGGAGTGTCTGGTGAAAGACTTTGAGCACCGGCAGCACGCGTACGACCTCCTCCAGCACAAGTTCATGATTGGCATCGACGAGCAGGCAGCAAAGTGCGCAGTGTGTGTGTGTGTGGGGGGGGGATTGCAGTGCAATGGCGTGTTGTGTGATGGCTGTTTGGTGCTGATGCGATGATGTTGCTTGTTTACAATGCGTGTTCACACGTGTGTTCACTGTTCCCACGCGCATGCACATGCTCACGCATGTTTTCACACACTTACATACACATACACATACACGCACCACAGGAATGCCATTCGTGCGCATCCGTACTTCAAAGTGTCGAGCGAGGATGTGACGGACCGGGAGGCGAACGCAATCATGAACGACGCGCGCAGATCCGTTGTCGGCGACAAACTCGTGAGTGATGCGGCAGCGATTGCACTGCTGCTGCTGGTGGTGGTGGTGGTGAAGATGGTGGTGGCCATTGAACAGTCGCGTATGAGAGAATGCTTGTGCTTGGGTTGGCTCGTGCGTACACTTGTGTGTGGTGGGCAGACACACGTGTTCATGGTTTCATGAGATTCATTTTCATCGTTCTTACAAGTCCACATTGCCACGAACACAACACCATCACCCTCCTCGCCACCCATTCAGCCCTACCGCGCCACAGACAATTTGGCGCTGGCCGATGACTTGACGGAGGAATACATTGTAAACACGCTTGAAACGCGTTTCATGTCATCGGTCATCTACACGCACGTGGGCGACATTCTGATTGCCATGAACCCGTACAAAAACGTGCCCCTCTACACAGAAGACTTCAAGAACAGGTTTGAAGTTATGTGTTGTGTTGTGTGTTTTGTGTTGCTTGTGTTGTGTGTTGTGCGTGCAGTGTGTGTGTGTGTGTTTGTGCGTGTAGTGTGTGTTGTGCGTGTGTTGCGTGTGAATGTCACTGCAGCTGTGCCTGCGTCCATACATCTCCTTGCCTCCACCACCTCTCCTCACCACGACCACCACGACCACCACCGACCCCCGTCAGCTACTCGCTCGACCGGACGAAACCCTCCACACGCCCACACGTGTTTGAGGTGGCGCTTCGGTCCTTCAAGGCCATGGTCCACGAAGGCGTCAACCAGGTGCACCATGATGCAACCCTGACCACACACACACACACACACACACATACTGTGCGATGCGTGCACGTTGCATGACCACACGATCATTAATACAAGCCCTCCCCACCACCTGATGGTACATGTGTGTGTGTGTGTCTGCGTGTGCAGAGTTGCGTGATCAGCGGTGAGAGCGGTGCGGGCAAGACAGAGACGGCCAAGTACTTTATTCGTCACCTCCTCGACCTCAGCAGCGTACGTCAACATGCTCCCCTGCACCACGTGTATGAACACGCTCACCTGCTGCTGCTGCTGCTGCTGCTGTGTGCTTTGCGGTGTTCACACCAATTGTATCTTGGAGATGATACCCTCATCCATTTTCTGTTGCCGTATGCGCGTGTCTGTGGACTCGTGTGCTTGCTAATGTACGCTGTGTCTGTACACGCGTGTGTCTGTATATGTGCGTGTGTGCATGTGTGTCTGTGTGGTGTGCGTGTGTGCGTGCAGGGCGGGGATACGGGCCTGGCCGCCAAGTATGAGGTGATGCGTTTCGCCCTGAACGAAATGCTCGAGGCATTCGGCAACGCGCAGACACGCATGGTACGTTGTGAACCAGCCAGAGGGTTGGGAAGGGACACAGCATCGATGCCGGCGTTGTACCTTGCTTCTTGCATTGGATGTGTGCGCGAGTGTGTGTTGGGTTTGTGTGTTTACGTCTGCGTTTGCTGCTTGCCAACCAAAGCAACCACCATCTCACATCACCCCCATCCCCCCCCCCTTTGCCCAAACCGTGTCCATCAGAACCGCAACTCGTCGCGGTTTGGCAAGTATGTTGAGATCTCGTTTGACCGCCACCACCACGCTGTCGGCGCCCGCCTCTCCCAATACCTCCTCGAGAAGTCCCGCGTCGTGCGTCAGGTGGGAGCGTAGCATTCACACTCGTCGTGCTGCGCTGCGCTGTGTTGTGCTGCGCCGTGCCGTGCGATGTTGTTGATGTAGTGTATGTGTGTGTGTGTGTGTGTGTGTGTGTGTGTGTGTGTAGGTGTGTGTGTGTGTGTGTGGGGGGGGGGGGTGTTGTGTGTGTTGTGTGCGTGCTTGTGCTTCACCTTTGATGTGCTTGCTGTTCAGCTTGTGTGCGTGTGTCGCTGCGTTTGCGTTAACAGACTGCGGACACGCGCCCATATCATGATTTTTTTCTATTGTATGACGCGGTTACTCACACACGACACCACCACCCCAACAACACATCACCACCACTTCTACTGGCAATTGCGCGCAGAGCGAGAACGAGCGCAACTTCCACGTGTTTTATTACGTCATGGCCGGCCTGTCCCAGCGCCAGAAACGCGATCTTGGCATTGAGGGCGATGTGAAGGACTTTGCATACGTCAACGGCGGCGTCACCTCCCTCCTGCGGTTTGTATGCTCGCATGTGCGTGCGTGCGTGTGTGTGTGTGTGTGCTTTGCGTGCGCGCGCGTGTGTGTGTGTTTGTGTGTGTCTGTGTGTATTTGCGTGTGTGCGTTTGCTTTCATTCGTGGTTGTGTGCGTTTGCGTTCATTCTCACGTTTTCGCGCGCAATCAAAGCTCACATCATACGTCCCATTGTCAATACGTCATTCTCCATCCACCCCCTCCTCTAAACCCGCCCTCTGCCACCGCTAGTGCGAATGGGCAGTCGCCAACGGTGCAGACAGGCCCACCGCGCGCGAGCGACCAGTACAGCGAGCTCGTGGACGAAATGCAAAAGGCAGGATTCTCCTCCGCCGAGGTGAAGGACATTGTGTCCACCCTCGCCGTCATCCTGTGCACCGGAAATGTGGATTTTTCCTCCAGCAAGTCCCCGCTCGCCTCCAACCTCGATTACGAAACGTTCTTTGACCTTGACGTCACGGTGCGTGCATGGGTGTGCTTTGGTGTGCGCGGATGCCGACGTTGGGCGAGAGTGCGTCCGTGTATGTGAGGACATGTAAGAGTGTGTATGGGTCTTCGAACTTGCACGTCATACACACGCACACACACACACACACACACACACACACACACACACACACACACACACACACACACACACAAAACACGCGAAACACAATCACAAACCCCCCCCCCCAAACAAACACACACACACACACGCATGCACGGGCGTCTTGTCTGTCCCTTCTCACGCGTGACTTGCTGCCATTGCGCAACCCTTCATATCCAGGGGTCCCTGGAGAAAGTTGCCAAGCTGCTTGGGGCGGACAAGGAGGACCTTGGGTCCGCGCTCTGCTCGACGATCATGATTACGCGTGGCGAAACAATCTTCAAGAACAACTCCACCGCCACCGCACGCGACGCTCGTGATGCCATGGCCAAGGTCAGCCAGCGGGCGCAGTCTTGTTTGACCAATTAGCCGTGTTTATGCGGATGTGGGCGTGAATGAGGGTGGTGGTGAGGTTGAAAGAAAGTGAGTCAGTGAGTGAGCCAGTGTGGCTCTGTGTAAGAGTATATTTCATGTTTTGCTTCGCGCGTTGACATCTACTCGGTCATTCCTGACCCAACACCACGCTCCCAACACCACTCACGATGTCTGCAGGCACTGTACGGGAAGCTCTTTTCCTGGATTGTCAACCGCGTCAACGAAGCCCTCTTCCTGGACTACAGCGTGCGTGCCTGCCCGTGATTCTTGATGGGCACTGTTTTGCTGGTGCTGCTCCTGGTGGCGGCAACGCAATGGCCTGTGCGTGACATATCCGTTTATTGACATTCACACAAACATGCAAAGGGTTTTGCTTTCCTCACACACACACACACACACACACACACACACACACACACACACACACACACACACACACACACACACACACACACACACACACACACACACACACACACGTGTGTTCATATTTCAACTGAACGCTGTGCCAGGCCACTGAGGAGTCGACGATTGGGGTGCTGGACATCTTTGGGTTTGAGAATCTGCAAACGAACACGCTGGAGCAGCTGTGCATCAACATCACCAACGAACACTTGCAGTCCTTCTTCAACGAGCACATTTTCGCTTGGCAGGCCAAGGTGCCGACACCCTGACTTGTTTGCGTGCATGTGCGTGCGTGCGTGTGTGCGTGTGTGTGTGTGTGTGTGTGTGTGTGTTGGGGGATCACTTTACGTGAAGTTGCCTGCTGTATCACCGCACGCCTCATCCTCTCTTCCTTTCATCCTTTCATTCATCCTTTCATTCTTTCATTGTTTCATCCGCCACCCCCACTTCCACACTCACCTCCTCTCCCCTCCCCCCCCCAACGATCACCAGGAATTTGCGCAAGAAGGCATTGACGCGACGCTCGTTGGGTACGAGGACAACGCAGCGCTGATCACGCTGCTGATGGGCAACCCCGTCGGGCTGCTCAACCTTGTTGATGAGGAGTCGCGCTTCCCCGCCGCCAGCGACCGCAGCCTGATCCAGAAGCTCCACATCCACTGCAGCACGAACAACGGGGTGGGTGACAACAAGGGTGGTGGGGGTTGTTGTTGTTGTTGTTGTTGTTGTTGTTGTTGTTGTTGTTGTTGTTGTTGTTGTTGTTGTTGTTGTTGTTGTTGTTGTTGTTGTTGTTGTTGTTGTTGTTGTTGTTGTTGTTTGTTGTTGTCGTCGTCGTCGTCGTTGTTTCTTCTGTATGTGTACACATGTACGCGCGCCTGTCACGTCTCGTTGAGGCACATTCTCGGGTCGTCTCGCTTAATTCCTGATGCCTTCCCAACGCACCGACACACACGCACACACACATGCATGCACACGAACATAATACACACACGCAAACACATGCATACACACAGCTGTATGTGAAGCCGCAGGACAGCAAGGCGCTGCACTTCACCATCAACCACTTTGCAGGCGACATCCAGTACGACGTGAGCGGGTGGATCGAGAAGAACAGAGATACGCTGACACCGTCGGTCGTGAGTCTGCTGCGTGAGAGCAAGAACAAGCTCATCCGCCTCCTCTTCTCCACGTCCCAGTCCGAGACGGGCGCGCTTGTTGCGCAGGACAACACGTCGCGTGTGCAGCAGCGGCAGGAGAACGCGCGAGAGATGATTGCGGTGCTGCGACGGTCCATCTGGCGCCGCACACCGTCTGCCCCAGACCGCTCGCAGCTCATGGACAGGAGGATGAAGCAGAAGAAGAGCCAGCAGCAGCAGGACGGCAACGGCATTGGCAACGGGCAGGCGGGCGCGCCGCGGCCCCGCAAGACACCGAGCATGGTGCTGGGCCAGACGTCCTCCAAGCGGATGACGCGTCTCGATTCGATGCCCTCATTGCCGCTGACGAAGACGGTGAAGAAGGGCCCGGCCACCGTGTGCGGACACTTCAAGGCGTCGCTGGTGGAGCTTGTGCTGAAATTGGAGCAGACGCAGCCCAACTTCATCCGCTGCATCCAGCCCACACGGCAACAGGTTCCAAATGTGTTTGAGCACAAACACGTGGAGCGCCAGCTGCGGTACACGGGCGTTTTGCAAACGGTGAAGATTCGTCAGGAAGGTTACGCAACCCGCGTGCCTTTTGCGGAGTTTCTTCAGCGCTACCGCGTCGTGCACTTTGAATACATGGAGAAGATCACGGACATGCGGGGTGCGTGCCAGGAGGTGCTGATGCACGTGTCATGCAACCCTGGCGACTGGCAGCTGGGCCACAGCAAGGTGTTTATGCGCTACAACGTCGTGGCAGAGCTGCTCAAGATCCTCGAATTCCACCACATGTACGTTGCTGCGGTGTTTTTGTGTTGAAAGTGCACTTGTGTTGTGTTGTGTTGTGTTGTGTTGTATTGTGTTGTGTTGTGTTGTATTGAGAGTGTGGTGTTGTGTTGTATTGAGAATGTGGTGTATTGAATGTGCAATGTGGTACCTTGAAATGCGTGCCGTGGGAATGTGTGCCCTTTGTTCATTGCACCTCCACACAAAAGCAACCACAACGACATAACCACCTCAGTGGCCACGTCAGCCGCCATTCCTAACACCACCACCACCACCACCATCGTCACCACCACTATCATCATCACCACCACTTCATCTCCCCCCCCCTTGTCCCACCAGGATGGGTCTGCGCATCAGCCGCATGGTACGGCGGTTTCTGTTCCGCTGCCGGTTTCAGCGGCTGCTGCGCCGTCTGCGCGAAGACGAGAAGCGCGCAAAGGAGGAAGCAGCGAGGCGCAAGCGCGAGGCAGAGGAGGCAGCGAGACGCAGGAAGGAGGAGGAGGAGAGGTTGAAGAAGCAGGCCGAGGAAGCAGAACGCAAACGGCAGCAAGAACTCAAGCGCAAGGAGGAAGAGGCAAAGCGACTTGAGCAGACAAAGGCCTTTGCGGAGTCGACTGTGGGCAGCGTGCTGCAGATGGCACGCGGTGTTGCGGCGCAGACGCTGCTGATGCTGGCGGAGGCGGCCAACCTCCCCGAGACCGACGAAGCGGATGTGGAATCCGAGGCCAGCAAAGCCCGGACACTGAACCGCCGCTCACACATGGGCGCCTCTGTGCGGTCGCTGGCGGCTCTGCAGAGCAACGCGGGCATGCTGGTGGTGAAGAACGTGGTGGATGACATGACGCAAGAGGACCTGTCCAGTGGTCCTGCGTGCATGGGGCCGATGCTCAGCGAAGAGCAGTTCAAGCAGCTTGACCAGCGGCTCCTGGACGTGTCCCAGCTGCCAGAGGGCGTGCTGCCGCTGTGCAGATACAAGAACGTGCTGCCCACACCGGCCACGCGCGTGCGGCTGCCGTCACTCGCTGTTCGCGGCATCCCAGTGGAGCATGCGGAGTTCATCAACGCCAACTGGGTACGGGACTGGACGGGCGAGCGGCGGTACATTGCGACGCAGGGGCCCAAGCCCAACACCGTGGAGCACTTTTGGCGCATGGTGTGGGAGTACGACTGCCCACTCATTGTGATGGTGACGTCGCTTGTGGAGAACGGGCGCATCAAGTGCCACCGGTACTGGCCCGAGTTCTCTGGCGCCAAGGGCAGCGAGCTCGTGTCAAATGTCATGGAGCTGGACTGCGGCATGCTGGTTGAGGTGGAGGAGGTAGAGCGATACCGGGAGTACGCCATCACATACATCCGCCTGCAGTGGAACAACACGGAGAAGTTTGTGCGCCACATGCACTTGCACCACTGGCCGGACTACGGCGTGCCAAAGTCCACGCGCTCGCTCGTGACGTGTGTTGATGTGATTCGCGACATCATGAACCGCGCCGAGGACGACAAGCCGCTTGTTGTGCACTGCTCCGCTGGCATTGGCCGCACGGGCATTGTCCTGTCTGTGCTGATGGGCGTTGAAGTGTTGCTTGCACGCCAGCGCCTGCACATGCCTGCCATTGTGCAATCGCTCCGTTGCGACCGTGGCGGCATGATGCAGACGTTTGAGCAGTACGAATTCTCATTCAAGTGCGTCATCGCCGGCTGCGTCTTGCGTGCTGCATGTGCTTAGTGTTGTGCTGTGTGTGTGTTGCGTAAGATTAGTGTTGTGTGTGTTTCTGTTGCGTGAGATTAACGTGTGTGTGTGTTTCTGTTGCGTGAGATAAAAATGTGTGTGTGTGTGTGTGTGTGCGTTGTACTGTGCATGGTGATGTTGTTTTGCGATTCGATCATCAATCCCCACAATCATCATTCCACCAACCCACCAACCAACCCATCACCAATCACTCACACTAACCCCCCTCTCCCCCTCCCCTTCTTCCAACTGCTTGCTCCTGCAGGGCGCTGGGGGCATATGCGCGTCGCGAGGCGTTCATGGCGTACCTGATGAACAACACGGACAAGCAGCAGCAGATTCTGGATATGGTGGCTGACGTGCTCAAGACCCCCGTGCCTTCCGTCTCACAGTCCGTTCCGCCCGCCAACGCATCCGAGCAGGAGATGATGCGTGCGCAGATTACGCGCTTCTGCGAGTTTATGCACAGGGGACAGGCTGAGCCCGTGCTTGGCTTCCCAGAGCTGTCGGCGTTCTGTCCTGGCTGGCACCTGCAACGCGACGTGTACGCGCTCTCGCTCGCAGATCCCAGCGCGGAAGCGGCGAGAGGCGGGAAACACCGGCGTAAGAGCAGTACGGGCAGCAGCGTGCACTCGACCGCAGAGACACGTGCCCAGAACGACAACGGCGGTGGTGGTGATGGTGGCGAGGATGGCGATGGCAATGATGATGGTGGTGGTGACAGCGAGCAGCCGACAGAGTCTGCCGTGATCCCCTTCCACGAGCTGCTGTTTGTGGACGAGGAGCAATCCACCACCATGCGCAAGGGCGTGATGCAGGTGCGGCCTCGCACGGTTTGACTTTCTGCTGCTGCTGCTGCTGCTGCTGTTGTTGTCTTGTCTTGTCTTGTTTTGACAGCGGTGCACTGTGCATGTTGTCGGTAGACACACACTCACACACGCACGTCATTCCTCTGCTCCACACTCACCATATGTACATACATACGCACGCACATACGCACACACATACGCACACACACACACACACACACACGCACATACAGCCTGTCATCCGCCTGCGTGCGGGCTCGGGCAACGCCGGTGAGGGCCATTCCCTTAACCTGCTCCCCTTTGCACACGCGAGCAAGAAGTACGCACTGAACCTGGATGGTGAGGGCGTGTTCCTCATCACAGATCCGCGGGATGGCGACGTGTATGTCGTCAACAACACCTTCCACGATATCCGTGTTCGCAGCATCGAATCCTCCGTTGCTCTCTGGATCCCAGGTGCGTTGGCTCTCTGTGCACGTGCGCGTCTCTGACGTTTGGCTGGTGTGGACGTGAGGTTGCGTGTGGCTGTTGTTTGCACAGGTGTTTGCACAGGTGTTTGCGTGTGGCTGGTGTGTGGACGTGCATTCGTGTACGTGCTGTATGCCCGCTGCTCACGTGGCTCCTCGTCCCCACTTCCACCACCACCTCCGCACTGCGCCGCGGCTTGTAGGCCACCCGTGCATCAACGCCAAGCGAGCGCGACTGGTGTGCGCTGGACAGACGATCCGGCTGTTCAACACAGACACGCTCCGCCACGCCATGTCGCACGTGATGGGGGCGCACATGGACAAGGGCAAGAAGGCCCTCATGCACGCCGTGTCCATGTGCCAGGCAGACATTCTGCTCCACCCAACAAAGCACACCAAGGCTGTGATTCGCGTGCACTACCGGGCGGCAGCAGCAGAGATGGCGCGCTGCTTCGACGCCATTCTGGACTCGCGTCGTCCAAACCAGCGCCGGCGCTCTAGCGTGGTGGAGCTGCTCGGCTCGCGGTGGTTTGAGCTGAACAAACTCGCTGCCGACCGCCCCATCTCCCGTGCTCCGTCACCTGTCAACGATGACATGTTTCAGGGGCATGACGTCACGGCCACGCTGGCCCCGCCCACTGGCCGCGAGCCGCTGTTTGGCGCAGAGGAGGAGCCACCGGCGCTTGGCGTGAACGGGCAGCCCGTCATTGCGACAGACGCAGACGCACCAGCACCGCCGCCACGCAAGCGAAGCAGTGCCGTCATCACCACACGCCCGCTGCAGCAACAGGAGGGAGGTACAAATGCAAGTGCATCCAGCACCACCACTGCTGCCAGTGCGAATGCTGACAAGGACAACGAGAAGGCAAGCAGTGGACGTGGTGAACACAACAACAATGATGATGATGCCAGCGTCTCTGTGGGCCAGCTGCCAGCGCGGCCCGTTGCGCGTCGTGGCTCCATCCAAGTTGAGGGCGACAGCGCGGGCGCGAACGTGGCTGACTTCCGGCGCAAGCTTCGGCGCACCAGCAACGTGCGGCTGATGGAGGCAACGCCAGAGATGCACGCGGCAGCGACGGTGCTGCAGGCTGCTGTTCGCGGGTTCCTGGAGCGCTTTGAGGTGCGCGCACGCAAGAACCGCGACAGACGCAAGAAGTCGTTCATGTTCTTCCACGAACAGGCCGGCCCGGTAAGGAACAGCGGCAGGGGTGTTGGCGATGTTTGTTTGTTTTGTTTGTACGTTTGTTTGTACGTTTGTTTGTTTGTTTGTTTGTTTGTTTGTTTGTTTGGTTTGTTTGTTTGTTTGTTTGTTTGTTTGTTTGTTTGTTTGTTTGTTTGTTTGTTTGTTTGTTTGTTTGTTTGTTTGTTTGTTTGTTTGTTTGTTTGTTTGTGTGTGTGGGCGCGGGTTGGGGTGCTTGTGCTTTATGTATGTTGAGTGCATGTATGACTCTTATCACTCACCGATTGCACACACACGCGCGCGCACACACGCACACATATTTGCCGCCTTCCATACAACAGCAGCAGCCACAACAGGGCAAGGCGGCACCGCTTGTTGAGGTGACACGCCGCAACTCTCGCAGCGTGCTGTTAAAGCAGAAGGTCTCTGAACGGCAGCGGCCGGAGCCAAAGAACACGAAGCATCTCGAGCCGAAGGTGGAGCGTGCCACCATCCTCAAGTTCAAACGCCCGCCAAAGAAGAAGAAGGTGTGGTTTTGTGTGCCTGTATTTTTTTTTTTGTGTGTGTGTGTGTTTGTGCGTGTGTTTGTGTGTGTGTGTGTTTGCGCGCGCGTATGTGTGTCTTCGTTGCATGTTGCGTGTTCAATGCTCAATGCATTCACATCAACACTCACCTTATCCCGCCTCCCCAACAAACATGCCCACGTCTTGAAAACAGCGCAAGTCGAAGCCCAAGGTTGAGGAGGAGGTATCTGTAGAGAAGCTGTTTGGTGTGCAGCTGCGGAAGACGTCCAATGCAAAGGTCGAGCAGGACATTGCATCCGCACAAGGTAAATCACCATGATTTTTGTTTTTGAAGAGCAAAGAGTAACGGAGACGGGAAGGCGGCGGGAAGAAAGATGCAAAGGAGCGCTTGTGTGCCTTTGCATAACATGACTGCTTCCTCCAGATTGTCGTGCCCCATGATGGCTGTTGTTTTCACCGCACCCCTTCCACCTCATGAACGTGTCTACTTCTGTATGCGTGTATGCGTGTGTGTGTGTGTGTGTGTGTGTGTGTGTGTGTGTGTGTGTGTGTGTGTGTGTGTGTGTGTGTGTGTGTGTGTGTGTGTGTGTGTGTGTGTGTGTGTGTGTGTGCAGCACTCGCATCACCGCCGCAGCAGCGCCGCAGCAGCGACATTGAGCCAATTGCAGAGGCGTCAGAGGCTGAGGAGCAGGCGGACACACAACCCGACAATACTCGAAGCGGTGGCTCAGCACAGGAAACAGCGCAAGAACAAGCGGAGCGGAAGCCAAAGCAGGAAGAACAGCCAGAGCCTGATGAACAGCAGCAACAACAGGAAACAGTGGCACCACCGCCACCGCCACCACCAGCAGCGCCCTTATCAGTCGCAGAGACAACAGCAGCAGCAGCAGCAAATCAGCAACAACAACAAGAGAAGGAAGAGCAGGCAAAGAAGACAAAGGTTGTGCCACCCGCCACACCCACACCGCCAGCCGAGGAAGCGACAACACCACAGCAGCCAAATGGGGAGCAGTCAACACGTGTTCCTGATGGGTGGTCACCTCCACCAGATACATCATCGCCGCCGCTGCCGCCACGCGTCAACTCTGCGCCAAAACGCCGCCGCTCAAGCAGACTGCTGCGCCGGCGCTCCAAGAAGGGGTCAAAGGCAGACAATACCACCAGCACCAATGATGGTCATGATAGCGGTCATGTGGAGAGCGCGGCGTCGCCCCGCCCACGCCGAGACGTACGTTGAATGTGTGTGTGTGTGTGTTATATGTGTACGAGTGAACAAATGCGTGTGTGTGAGTGTGAGTGTGAGTGTGAGTGTGTGTATATGTGAGTGGTTGTGTGTGTGTGTGAGTGTGTGTGTGTGTGTGTATGAGTGAACAAATGTGCATTGCATCCCTGATGCAGTATGTTGGGCCCTCCCGCGTACGCCCTCAACATCACGCCAACATCAACATAAATGCCAACACGACGATGACAGGAGGGCAACAGCAAAGCCGGGAAGTCACCTGCCCGCCGCCCTAGTCTTCTTCGTCGTCTCTCAACACGCAAGGCAAGCACACGGGGAGTGTGTGTGTGTGCGTGCGTGCGTGTATGTGCGTGTGTGTTTGCGAACAACTGTGTTTGTGTATGTATGTGCGTGCCATGTTCTTCGAGCTTCTCTTTCCTCTTGCTGACATGCCGCCTCTTCTCCCTATCTATCCCTTCCCCGTCCACACTCTTGTGTGTGTGTGTGTGTGTGTGTGTGTGTGTGTGTGTGTGTGTGCGTATGTGTGCGTGTGTGTGCGTGCGTGCGTGCTTGCCACGACAGAACTCGAAGCGCCGCAACAGCGCGACGAAGCGCAATTCGATGGACGGCTTGAGCGAGGAGAAGGACAGTGATGAGGAGAGCGAACCGTTTGATGCGCTCTTGGATGAGATGGACGACGACACAAAGGCCTTCTTTCAACAGCTCGAAGCCAACAGAGCCGAGCGAGAGCGGGTGCGTGAAATGCATATGCATGCTTGTATGCGCGCGCACGTGCGCGTATGTTCGTGTGCAATTGTGCGCATGTATGTGTATGTGTGCGCATGTATGTGTATGTCTGTTCGTGCTATTGTACTGAAGCGACCTCACATGTGACCGCAACCGCATGTGCATGTGATGTGTGTGTGTGTGTGTGATGGTGGTAGGAGGCGGAACAGCGGCGGCTTCAGCTCGCAGCGGAGGCCGCACTGCAGCGACAAAAGGAACAGGAGGAGCTGAACCAGGAGGTGCGGTAGCAGCTGACATTGTTACGCATGATGCGAGAACGTGACACACAGACACACATACACACGCACACACACACACACACACACACAGACACGCGCACACACAGACACGCACACTCAGAGGCCTACACGCATTCACACGCACACACACACACACACACACACACACAGGCCTCCACGCATTCACACGCTACCGCCCCTTTTGTGTTGCCTGCAGCTTGATGCAATTCGACGACGGACGGAAGCCGAGATTGCACGAGAGGAGAAGGAGCGCGACAAAGTTGTTGAAGAGACGCAGGGCAGGCTGCAGGAAATGACATTCGACTTCACCTTCAACTGACGCGCAGGGCACACACGCGCACATGGAGACGGGTGCATGTGCGCAGCTATTCATTGTCTCATTGTCTCATTGCCCACTGCCACTGAAGGTCGTCGTTTCTTCTTTCGCGCATTGGGTGCAGTTTTACCTCATGTTCGCGTATTTCTCTTTGCTTTTTTTTTTCCCCTTTGTTCCTCGTGTTTCCATCGTCTGTGTGAGAGTGCTTGCACTTGATCCATTTCCTAAACAGCATGTTCGTCACGCCTTTGCTCGTAGCCCCTACTTTCATTCCTGCGCGCCGCCACCCGTTTGAAGCTTTGCCCAGGTTTTCTCCTCGACTGTTTCGCTTGCTTAGATCTCCCATCTTCATGCATGCATCCATTATCATCCTTATCATTCATTATCATTGACATGCACCGTTTACTTTGCTTTGCCTTTGCCTTTTGCGTTGATGAGTGTTTCAAGAGGAGTTGTCGCTGATTCAGTTCAATCGTTTGCAAGGGTTGTCGTGTTGGATGCACACTGCATGCAAGCGTGCACGTGTGTGTGTGTGTGTGTGCGCGTGTGTGTGTGCGTGTGTGAGTGTGTGTGTGTGTGCGCGTGTGCGTGCTTGCGGGTTGTTGCTTCTCGTATCTACACGTTGCCATTTGTGGAGTGTGGGGAGGGGCGTTGGGTCGTTACAGTGTTGCTTTGGGTTTCTCATTTGTTGTTGTGAGCAGCCCAATAAGACACAAAGCACGCAAGAAGAAGGCAAGACGTGACGCAGACCTACAGAGACAAGAGGGCAGAGGAAAGAAGGAGGGGAGCATTGCGCAGGCAGGCAGGCAGGATAGAATGGATGGATGGGGAAGTGTTGCCGCGGCTGTCTTCAGGCACAGCAAGTGGGACAAGAGCCACATGCACAAGCAGAAACGTGTACAGTCGTGACAAACAAAACAGGGAGGGGCAACCGAAAGGACGTGGCGTGCAAGGGCGAGAGAGAGAGAGAGAGGGGTGGGGGGGGGGTGAAACAAAGACATTCATAAACACAGTTCAAGACACAGACACAGACAGACAGACAGATAGACAGAAACGCGCACACAGACACATACTCCCGCACAAGCACACACGCACTCTTACAGGCGCACACATATGCATATAGACACAGACTTGTGTGCTATGCTGTGGCTGGTGGGTGCTTGACCAGCCAGCGATCAAGGCCCTCCCCCCTGTTGCAGACAACCGCCCAGGCAGCAGTGGCCACCAGCGCATACACACGGAACAGGGTGCTGTGCATGAGCCCGTAGCCAGCGATCACAGCAAGGCCAATGGCAAGGGCCATGCCAATGATGTAGCGGACACGGACAATGCCCAGCGCGCGATCATCAGCGTCCTTCATATCCGCCCAGCCAGACATCGGGCGATGAGACGAGCCGCCACACTCATCAAGCAACGCATCCTTCTCAACAAAGCCTGCCACAAAGGGTTCGTGGGGGTGATTAGTGAGTTTTAGAGCGCGCGGAGACAGGGGGGGGGGGTTCGAGCAGGGATGAGATATGTCGCAATCGGCAAAGCAGACACAGGCAAGGATGCAAGCGCACAAAAGAATGCATACGAGCAGAATGCATACGAGCACACAGACACAGACACACAGATGCACATACACATACGCACACAGACAGACAGATAGACGCACACACATGCACATACACATACGCGCACATGCACTTACACATACACATGCACACATACATACACATGCACTTGCACATGCACATGCACATGTACGCATACAAACACATGCACATACACATACACACACATACACATACACATGCACATACACGCACACACACACACACACACACACACACACAGATCGGGACGCACGTTGGATACACCAGTCCTGGAGCTTGTCTGCACTCTCGGGAATGTCCTTGATGGGAAAGCGCTTGACATGGATGGAGATGCAGGGTGGGTAGCGGCCATAGACAAAGGCCGCCTCCATTGGGGGTTCGTCTTCCGCAAAGTACTGGTAGGCGATGGTGCAGTCGTACAGCGCATCAAACTGGTGGCGATGGGCAAGGATGGCCTGCAGGCCTTTGATGCGCGGGTGCAGCACATGCTTGTACGACTTGAGGCCGCGCTCGCGCGTGAAGGCGTTGGACTTGTCCAGGTTCTCGGGGGAGTAGTCGGTGCCCTCGGGAAAGATCATGAGCGAGGAGGGCTCCTTCTGCTTGTGCAGGTAGGAGAGCACCCAGTCGATCCAGCCCAGGTCGCGGTCGCGGCGGCGGGCCAGGAAGATGTAGAGGAAGCACTGGAAGCCCCAGCCGTAGATGGGGGCGCGCTTGAGCGAGTCCTTGAGGAGGATGCGGGTGTGGTCCAGCTGCGCCAGTCGCGCCAGCAAGCACAACAGCGGGTACCAGTCGATGTGGCAGTGGTGGTTGGCGATGACGATGGCGCGCTCGTTCTCGCGGCAGGCAGGGTCCATGGCCACGCGGAGGCGGATGCTAGTTGCCAGCTCGAAGAGGCCGCACACAAAGTAGAACCAGAGCACGCTCACGGCGCGCGCACCCTGATGGAAGAAGCGCCGGCATGTCCAGGCCAGGTGGCTGATGGTGGCGTTATCGACAATGGCTGCTGCCGCTGCGCTGGCTGCTGCTGCTGTTGTGGTTGTTGTTGTGGATTGTACACTGGCATTGCCTGCACGGGGTGCTGCTGGCTTGATCAGTGATGGCAGCGACGGCAGGAGCAGGAACACAAAGGCCAGCGGCGTGAAGAGGAACATGAACACCGCCCACGCACACACGGTCATCGTCAGCATGTACGTCATGCCATACGCCATCCGCAGCACATCCATCACACCAGCCATGGTGTTGGTGGGTAAGTTTGATTGGTGTGTGTCACTGTTGTCTGATTGGTCGTGTTTGTTGTTGCGAAAAAGTGGGCGTGTGTGTGCTTGCTTTTGTGTGTGTGTGTGTGTGTGTGTGTGTGTGTTGTGTGTGTGTGTGTGTGTGTGTGTGTGTGCAAATGCGAAGCTTGAGTGAGGCTGATGCATGGTTGGTTGGTTGGTTGGTTGGTTGGTTGCTTTGCACTCACCCACCCGTCCAACAGACGTGTTACATTACATTCACTGGCACACACCACACTCATTTGTTGATTCATTCATTCATGTCATTTACTTCAACTTTCACCCTGACATATCTCACCATCGCGCACATGCACGTGTGCCACGGTCCCTGCACCACAGATCATTCCCATCTCAATGTCATCCACTCGTGTCGGCAGTCATGAGCTCAATAGTGCTTCTTCTCTCCCTCCTCTTCTTCCCCCTCCTCCCCCTGCTGCTGCTGCTGTTGTTGTTGCAGTTGTTGTTGTGATACTCTTGCTGTCACAGCCCCTGCGTCATGCGGCCCTTCCACTCCAACTCGCTGCCGCTGCTGTTGCAGTTCCTCCTCCTCCTCCTCCTCCTCCTCCTCCTCCTCCTCCTCCTCCTCCTCCTCCTCCTCCTCCTCCTGCTGCTGCTGCCGAACTCCCTCCTCCTCCTCCTCTTTCCTCGTTTCCTCTTCCCACGTTTCCTCTTCTCTCCCCTCTGCTTCTCGTTCTTCTTCTGCTGGTGCTGGTGGCCCCTGCTCTGCCCCGCCCTGTGCCGCCACGTGTGCCATGAGCGCCTGGTACACGTAGTCGCTCACCGTCTTCTCGGCCACCTCCAGCCGCGTCTCAAGCGCAGCACTCCGCTCCATCTCCTGTAGTGGAGGGTGTGTGTGTGTGTGTGTGTGTGTGTGTGTGTGTGTGTGTGTGTGTGTGTGTGTGTGTGTGTGTGTGTGCGTGCGAATGAAGGATTGGGTAAAAGAGTGAGTGGGTGAAGGAGTGAGTGGGTAAAAGAGTGAGTGAGTGAAGGAGTGTATCAGCAAAACTGTAAATGCTTGCACAAACGCACTCGGAGACACACACACACACATGTGCAAGCACATCGGCAACAGGCAGAGCAGCAGTTGTAGTTGCCGTACGTCTTCGAGTGCGGACGAGAGCTCAACAACCGTTGCTTGGAGTGATTCAATCAAGTCAAGCGCCTAACCCAACCATGAAAGCGCACGTGCGAAAGGTGCACAAAGTGAGCTCGCCAGCACCGCAGGAGATCAATCGACACAACCACAACTCATGCAAACAAACAACGCACACACGCACACAATATACACAAGCAAGCAGGTACACAAGCAAGCAAACACACACGGACACATGCAAACACACACCGTCTCCCAGTCGGACTTGACGTGTGTCAGTTCTGCAATGACATCCTGGGCGGCTTGTTGCTCTGCTTCGCTCGCTTTGTGCGCTTCATCCGTCACGAGCGCTTGCCCTTCCACACTCCGGGGAGAGTGGAGCAACTTGGGCGTCTTTGTGTCTGTCTCCGCATGCGCATGCCTCCTCTGCTGTGGCTGTTGATGGTGCACTGAGGAGGAGGAAAAGGAGGAGGCTGATGCCGTGTCTACTGGTGGTCGCGTGTGCTCTGCGACCCCCTGTGCAAGGTGTTCCGTGTGCGGTGCGACGCTCTTAGCAGCGCCACTGGCGTGTCCCTGATCGCGTTTCTCACCATGTCGAAGCGTCTAGTCGACACAATTGAACGGTGCGTGAAGATGGAAGGGGTGTGTGAGCCCACGAAACATAAAAACACATTCACAAACACAAACAACAATCACAAACACAAAAGCACAAACACAAACAACAACACAAACACAACAACAACCACAACCACAACAACAACAACAACAACAACAACACAAACAACAACACAAACACAACAACAACCACAACCACAACAACAACAACAACAACAACAACATCAACAACAACAACAACAACAACACCGCAAAGGAAGCACTCAGGTGACCCACAGGTCAACGCGCCCCTCATGTACACATGCACGCACCTGTCGAGGGACGTTCATCTGGTTGGAGATGGATTGTAGTGTTGTGCCTGCTCCCTTTGATTTGGGCTGGCGGGTTGATGTTGATGCCGGTTTCTCTTGCAGTTCTTGATCCTGCCAGCATTGAAACCACTGCTTGGCAGCCTGTACAATCGACACAACAGTACAGCGTTACACGTTGCTGTGGTCGAAAGGAGTGTGTGTGTGTGTGTGCGAGCGAGGGAGGTAGAGAGACACACAGAGAGAAGGAAGAGCAAGAGAGAGAGAGAGAAGGAAAGGAAGGAAGAGCAAGAGAGAGAGAGAGAGAGAGAGGCAGACATGCACACGCACACACGCACACACACGCACGCACACACGCACACACACGCACGCACACACGCACACATGCACACACACACACACACGCACGCACGCACACACGCACACACACGCACGCACACACGCACACATGCACACACACGCACACACACGCACACACACACGCACACACACACGCACACACACACGCACACACGCACGCTCACACATTGTCACCACAGATGAACAAACACGTATCGACACATGCAAACAGGCATGCGGAAAGTACGTGTCAATGCACACAACAGCACACCTGCAATCGCTGCTTTGTGGGATCCATTTGGCCCCTGTTGATGCCAAGCCGCTCCGCGCTCACAGCACTCGCACACGCTCACACTCGCACTCGCACAGGTTCTCGCACAGGTTCTCACAGCTCGCGGTCTCGCACAAGCACTCACAGCTCGTCACCGCACAGCTTTTTGAACACAGCCCGCCAGATCTCGTCAACGGTGTCCTACGAAACTAGAACTAGGACAACCCACCACCTTTCCCTAACTTCAGGGACTGGGCGACTGATCCGCCTTGTTCTGCTTGTGCGCCGCTCTTTTTTTGCTGTTCCTTCCGTTTTTCTCTGCTCCCCTCCTGAAAACCCTTTGCCTGGCTGGTTTGCTTCACTTTCCTGTGTTTGTTGGTGGTTTGTGTCGTCGTCGCTGCACGCCTCCTCCTGCTCCTTTCCTTGCTCGGTTTGCCGTTCCCGCGTGAGTTGTGTGCGCGCGGGGGTTGAACGACCCTCCTCGAGCCAACGCACGGTGTGCACCCTCCCACCTCCTCCACTCCCCGACTCTCCTAGACTCTGCCCTCTTCTTCTCCCTCCCCACCACAATCCCCTTCTCTGCACTCCAGATCACGTCTGTTTCCTCACCTCTGGTTGTGTGCGTGTGCGTGTCTGGCGCACCTTTGTGCGCGTGCGTGTGAACGCCATCAACCTGCATCGACACAAACAAGCGACGATCCTCGTTTGTGTTTCCGGCCGGCTGATCTCATCCCTTTCAGCACCCCCACCACCAGCCCACCACTACCGACAACAACAACCGACACCACACCGACACAGCGGTTCGCTTTCTGGCCCCTGTGGTCGCCCACCTTCCTTTTCGACCTTGCTTGTGTCTCTTCTTCTTCTTTGTGCGTTTCTCCGCTTGACCCCTTTTCCCGGTCTTCTTGTTCGTTTCTCCAATCCCTGCCGTCGCCCAACACCAAGCTTGTATCTTCCACTCGAGAACAGCGAGGAACACCACCCTTTGGCTGCTCGCTTGCGTGCTTTGTGTGCGTGCGTGCATGCAAACGGTTGTTGATTGATTGCTCGTCATCATCTGCTTCTGCTTGGGGTGCTCTTTCTTCGACCAAGCAGTGCCCATAACCGTTGTTTCTCGTCTCGTTTTCGCGTTCCTTGGCGTTTGTCGAGTGAAGACAGACACCAACGCCCGTGGCTCACGAAGTCGTGAAGGCCTGGGTTTTAGATCAAGCGCCTCATTGTGTTCGGTTTGGTTGCTGTCCGCTCGTGTCGAGCGTGTATCGGCGTCTCTCGAGTGCAGTTGTTGACGTTGTCATTCTCGTGTCGAGCACTTTGTGTATCCTTCACACCCGTTTGTCGATAGCGGCTCTTGTAATCATACCCCACCTCACCACTTCGCCCCTTTCTCGTCGTCCATAGCTTGCCCTGTGAAGCATTTTCCATTTGGTCGACTGTCGGTCCATTCACAAACCACCGTCCTCGCCTGAGCGTCGCCTTTCCGTTTCATATTTGACCCGGCCTTTTTCTTTCTTTGCCTCCACATCGCCAACGGCCATAACCAGCACAATGACCACAACCACAACCACCCCAACAACACCAGCATCCGCGGTCACCTCTTCACCGGCCAGGATATCGCTCGATGCGACCCAGCGCCAAAAGTTGCGGCAGCTTCTCTCCGCCCCCATCCTTGTCACCTCGGACACGATCCTCCACCATTTTCTCCCGCCCATTCAAGTTGTTCCCGCGCCCTTCATCGCCGGTGTCTACCAAGCACTCACACAGGCGGGCATCGGGCTCGAAGACGTGAGATTAGAAGGCTCCGGTGCCACCCATTGCGTCGCCAATGATCCCGTCGCATACGTACGTTTATCCATTAGAGTCTGTCCGTGTGCACATGTGTGTGCATGTGTGTGCATGTGCATGTGTACTTGTGTCTGTCCGTGTGCACATGTGTGTGCATGTGTAAATATGTGTGCTTGTGTACCTGCATATGACCTGTATATGTGTATGCGGGTATGTATCTGTCTGCATGTGTTCGTGTGAGTGTGTGTATGCAGGTGTGCGTATGTTTGATGTCCCGTGTAAGCTTGATGTGCTCTGCAAGCATGCATGCAGGCACATGCACGCATGTCCAGTTTCCTCACACTCTTCTCGCTGCTTGAACCATTGCACCACCATTCCCCCTTCCCTCCTTCCCCTCAGAACGACCTTGATGTTGTGTTTCATCTCGAGTCGCGGGATTATGCCAAGCTGATGCAGGTGCGCGAGATCCTCATGGCGTTCATGCTAGAAGTCGTCTTGGCCACACAGCCCGACGCCTCGGTGGACCAGCAGCGCGTGCGCCTCTACTTCACCAACATTTTCCTCACCCAGCTGCACATGCTGAGCGAGGGCGACACGCCATTTGCGCTCTTCACCCTCCCCGCCGTCACTGGCCACCCGTGCCTCGACCTCAAGTTTGTGCAAGGCCGCACCAACACGTACGAGTTCTCCGTCAACAGCTTCCAGCTCATCATCCCCATGTCCACCCGGATGGCGAGCATTGCAGACAGCGCCGAGGATGCCAGCGAGGCCATGGTCAGCGCTGCCACGTTCATCTCTGGAGAAGACGCCCAGGGCACACCCAGCGACGAAAACGGGCGTGGTGGAGCTGACAGGAGACAGGACCACCGCAGCCGCGGCGACAACAGCGCGGGCAGCGATGATGTGAGCGGTGCGAGCGAGCACGACAGCGAGGGCGGCCACGACCCCGATGCCACAATCCTTGCGCCGCAGAGCACGGACGACCAATCCGCAGGTGACGAGACAGAGACGGAGACAGAGCTCCTTCAGCGCGACATGTTTGGGTCGCTTCGGGACGCCCCTGAGAGCCCCCGCACTGCGCCAGATGCCGGCAGTGACACGGAGACAGAGGCGGAGGCTGTTCCTGCAAACAAGCCCGCGCCCACACAAACCAAGCGCAAGAAGAAGCAACAGCAACAACAACAACAACAGCAGCAGCAGCAGCAGCAGCAGCAACAACAACAACAACAACAAGAACAAGATGGTGATGAGACCGTTACCAGAATACGGAAGAAGAGAAAAGGCAAGAAGCACCGCAAGCAGAAGAAGCAACAGGCTCAGCGGCAAGCAGAGGAGCCAGACAACGTTAGCGCGGTTGCTGATGGCGCTGGTGGTGATGTGAGCGGTATTGAGGCGGACGTCGAAGATGACACACATGACCACGAGCCTCTCGACAACAGAATACACCAACAACAACAACAACAACAACAACAACAACAACAACAACAACAACAACAACAACAACAACAACAACAGCAGCAGCAGCAGCAGCAGCAGCATGAGGCAAGGCATGCGACGTTATCAAAACAACAGGACAAGCCTCAGAACACTGAGCAAGCAAACCCGCAGCAGTCGCTGCGCCGAAGACGATCGGCCCCGCCGCGCACAACCAACGACACCCGCCGTGTGGACGGCGATGCCGAGGTGGTGCTGCAAGCCAGAGTTCAGGACGGCTCGGACCAGCTCCCAAGGCCCACTGCTCCACAAGAGACGTTCTCCACAGAGGCCGTGACGGAAGCGTCGTTGGCCGCCAAGGTTCCCCTGCGCTCGGGCGCGCGGCCGCGCGCCTCGTCGTCCAGCGACACCACCCCGACCCGTGTGGACGTCAACGTCAGCGTGGACGTTGTTGTGGGCGGTGGCGGCCGCCGCCGTCGCAGCGCGAGCCAGCAGCGCGAGCCGTCCTCTGGTCAGGCCGGCCGCTGGCGTGGCGCCATTCCGGGCAGCGATGCGTTTGTGAGTGACACGGAGACTGCGGAGGACCTCGCCATGGAGCGCAGCGGTCGCGCTGGCACCCGCGGCGGCGGCCGCGGCGTCGACAGCGATACAGGTGACGACCACGACCTCTCCACCCAGCAGCAGCAGCCCCAGCAGCGCTACCTACAACAACAGCACTATTACCACCAGCAGCAGCAGCACCACAACCATGCACAGTTTGATGGCATGGGCGTGGGCGTGGGCGTGGGCGATGTCAGCGGCGACGTGAACAAGCGGTCCTCATCGTCCACCCGGTTTGTGCCAACGCCTGAGACGCAACAGGAACGCATGCTGCACACGCAACCACGGCTGGCATACTCGCAGCCACAGTCGCCGCACCACGGCGCGGGCCACCCGCACCAGTCGCAGCACATGGCGAACCATTACCACCAGCAACGGTCAGCCCACATGTACGGCGGCGGCCAGAACCCGGGCGCCCAGTCAGCCAGCGGGCCCAGCAGAAGCACCGGTAATGCGACTGGTGGAAGCAGAAGCGGCGGCAGTGGCGGCGGCGGCGGCCTATTGCCCGTGGGTGGCAACATGAGCATGGGCCGCGGTGGTGGCGGCGGAGGCGCAGGCGGCGGCATGATGATGGTGATACCGTTTGCCCAGATCCCCAACATTGACCGCGTCGGGGCGCCCATGGTTGACCTGGACGCTAAGGTGATCGAGTGCGAGAGCACGTATGGTGACGTGCGGGCGGCCATTGAGCACGCAAACAAGCGCATCATCTCCGTGCCCAGCATTGGCGTTGTGTCGAAGAAGCGGGGCGGGTGCCTGCTGCGGTATGCGCTGCTGCGCTGCAGCGGCTACACGCTGGACAGCCACCTACCGCCGCTTGAGCTGGAGAATGTCATGGTGGCGACGTTTTGTGCCGAGTACGAGGACATCACCAAGCAGTCGGCCTCCATGTCGCTGCAGCGGCGCCTGAACCGGTACATGGTGTCGCACATGCCGCCGCACCGGCCCAGCAGCTTTGAGAACCAGATGGGGTTCCTCACCGAGCTTGAGCGCCTCTTCATGCAGTGGTCCGACACCAACAAGCTGCTGCTGAGCCAGGAGGAGCTGGTGGACACTGTGACCGGCATGATCCAACACTACCAGGACAACATGCAGCGCATGTTCCAGAACCATGCGTACGCCATGATGATGCACCAGTACAACCTTGCGCTTGCAAGCAGCGGCATGGGCGCCCGCCAAGGCATGGGCTACCCCGGGCTCGCCATGTCGTCGCAGCAGAACTTCTTTGGCGCACCTGTTCCACCGCCCATGGCAGGCGCGTACGGCCGCTACGGCGTGTCCCCGCACGCGCGCACCATGAGCCCAGACGTCGGGTCCGCCGGCCGCAGCACCAGCGTCGGCAGCACCGCCTCCTCTTCTCGGCGCCGTCACCACAGCAGCAGCAGCAACAACAGTAGCCACAACCACAACCACAACCACAGCAGCGGCAAAACTGGCGGCCACACAGGAGGCGGGCGTGGGCATCGGCACAACAGTGGCGGCTATCACCACCAGGGCTACCAGACGCACGGCCAGCACTTGTACCACGGGCAGCAGCAGCAGCAGCACGGACAGCAGCATCCGCACCAGCACCAAGACAGCAGTGAGCGAGGAGATGCACGGCGCAACGGGCAGCATGTTCGCGCAAGGAGTCACAGCCACACCAATGTGCACGCGCTTGCCTCGGCGGCGTCGGCTTCGCTGGCAGACCACCCGGGCAGAGCCGTGCCCGGAGAGGGCCGAAGCGCCTCAGTGACAAACATGGCGGTGTCCTCTTCATCGCACCACCTTCACCACCATCAGTCCCAGCAGCCGCAGCACCCCCAACATCACCGCCAGAAGCCCCAGCTGCAAGCTTCAGGCTCCGTCACCAGCGCTGGAATCACCACTCGCAGTGATCGCAGCGGCAGTCAGCGAGGTATGGGCAGCGGCCCAGACGGCGCCAATGCGGGGCCGACGGCGGTATCTGGCGGAGGCGGACGCGATCGCAACGCCAGGCGAGGCTCGAAGCAGTCGTCATCAACGCCGTCTCTCTCTGTCCCGCCATCGATGTCGGGCACGTCGCCAGGCCCACGCCACCAGTCGCCCATGTTCCGCGACGACATGCAAGGGTTTTTCATGGGCGGGCGCCAGTTTCACTCCCATTCGCGCCAGCACTTCTCGCAGCAGCAGCAGCATGCTGCCTTTCAACATGCGCTGTACCTGCAGCAGCAGCAGCAGCAGCAGCAGCAGCAGCAGCCCCGCCACGCCGTTGTTGGCGCTCAGCGAGGCGGCTACCAGGGTCAAGGCAGCGGTGCCGGCAGTGGGCGTATCGGCTACGAGCGCCGAACGTCTGAGCCAATAATGGCTCCTCAGGCGGGCATGGTGCTGGCAAACGGGTACCCTGCTGTGGCGACACCTGCGTTGCCGACTGCGCCCGTTGCCGGCGCGCCCGCCCCGCTGCTGGGCCACGTGCCGCCTGGCATGGTGGTACCCTCCGTGCAGGGCTCACCCCCACGGAGCGCAGGCAATGCCAGTGGTAGCGTGAGAGGAAACAGCGCCTCTGCCCAGCAGCAGCAGCATGGTCGGCACTCTGCGTCGTCCTCCCTGAGCCGTCAAGAACAGCCCGGTGGTCACCACCACCATCAGCAGCAGGCGCCACAGGGCAGCAGCCAACAGCGCAGCCACAGCCACCACTCTAAAGGTGGACGCCGCAACAGGCGAAGCCCAACCGTGCGCGCCCGTGCCAGGTCACAGTCCCCAGAGGCCTCCACGCGCAACAGCGGCAGGCACACAGAAGGTATGCGAGCTGGCCTGTTGCAGCACCCGTCTGAGACAAAAGCCCATGCGCAACAGCAACAGGTGCCACCACAGCCAAAGCCACCACAGCAGGCGCAGGCGCAGTCGCAGTCGTCCACGCAGAAGCAGGCGCAACCACAACCGCAACCGCAATCGTATGCGCAGCGGCTTGCCAGTGGGGCTCGTCGCGACCAGGCGCCCTCAGCATCTGCTGCCTCCGCCTCCAAGAAGCAGCAACAGCAAGGGCCCAGCAAGGGCAAGCAGGGCGCGGCACACCCTGGCGCTACTGGCAACGGGAACACCAAACGGTCGTCTGGACAACAACAGCAGCAGCAACAACAACAACAACAACAGCAGCAGCAGCAGCAGCAGCAGCAGAGCGCTCGCGCTCATGGCAGCAACCATGTCGACACTGGCAACAACGACGGCGCTGGTCAGCGACGTGGCAAGAAAGGCCGCGGGAAGAAAGGCAACAAGAACAGCAAGAACATGCGAAGCAGCAGCGTGTCGTCGCTGACCATTCCCTCGTCTATGGCGCCAAGTTCCAGTGCGCCGGCCACGCCGACCGTGACGATGCCGCCGTCCCCGGCACGAGACACAGGCGCCACCCAGCCCAAGACGCAGCTGCCCAAGGGCGCCCCGACATACAGCAGCAAGGTGGCGCAGGCAAATGCCATGCAGCAAAAAGCAGCGCGTGCCAGCAGCAAGAGCCCTCCCGGGGGCGCCAACACCTCGGCAACGATGCGGCCCATCAACTACGCCAAAGCAGCCACGGGCGGCTCGAGCGCCCAGCAGTCGAAACAATCCCAGCAACGCAAGCAGCAGCAGCAGCACAGAGCGCAGACGCCGCAGGAGCAGTCGGGCAAGCAGAAGCAGAAGCAGTCCCATCGTCGCCAGCAGTCGGCTTCGTCGCCCGGAAGTGCAAAGCTCACCTCGAACTGGCGCAGCAGTGCCGGTGCTCCTGCACAGTCTCAGTCGCAGTCGCAGCAGCCCAGCCGCGGCAAACAGCAACACAAGCAGCAGCAGCCGCAACACCAACCGCACAGGCGGCCACGGTCTGCGGAGGATGGGCGCAGCATGTCTGCGTGCGATGAGCTGCTACCGCCACCGCCGCCACCGGCGTCGTCGTCGTCCACAATAGCCTCTGCGTCATCGTCTGGGCTGTCTGGGCGCGTGCATCTGGTGTCGTCGCCGTCGTCTGTGTCATCTTCAACGTGCTCTTCAGCGCGGGATTCGCCACTGCGCAAGCAACGCCAGCAGCAGCAGCAGCAGCAAGCGCGCGAGGCGACTGCGATGGGCAACAGCAGCAGCACCGCCAGCACCATGGCGAGCGGCAACACCTGCAGCCGTGGCGGCCGAAAGCGGCAGTCCAGCAACAACTCCAACAGCTCCCTTGACAGCAACAGCAGCGTTCGCGGTAGCGGGCATGACGCCCACGCTGCTGATGAGGACGAGCACGACGACCACGCCACATACGCTGCCACCCCGCCCGTGCTGTCGTCCTCCTGCCCCGTCGACGCCGCCATGCCCGCCGTGACCATCCCCTCGTACAACTCGCCCGCGCCGTCCGTGGCGTCGAGCGGGCCGGACAACGAGTGCTTGTCCAACTGCGCGTCTGGCGAGATGTTCACGGTGACGTCCCTGCTGCCGACGCCGCCAGCTGCTGGGTCCCACTACCACGCGAGCCAGCCTGTGGCCGACCAAAACCACAACCACCACCCACGCCACTCGCAGGCGTACGTGCAACAGCCCGCGCCGCCAACGGCTTTTCCCTTTCCCGCTCAATCTCCCCCACGCAACTTGGACAATGCGAATGGCAGTGGTCACAAGGGCGACAGCGGGGGCAGTCACAACAAGCAGCAGAGCAAGCAGCACAAGCAGCAGCAGAAAACGAAGAAGCAACACCAGCAGCAGCAGCAACAACAACAACAACAACAACAACAACAACAACAACAACAACAACAACAACAACAACAACAACAACAACAACAACAACAACAACAACAACAACAACAACAAAACAAGCAGCAGCGAACCAAGGTGCGAAAGGATGGTGCTTGTACCAGCAGTGTGATTGTGACGCACCAAGGGGTGACGCCGCCGCTGAGCTCGAGCAGCAACCAGTCATCGCCCTCGCGCAACAGCGAAGGGGAAGTGTCCACCCCAACCGCAACGGGTTCGGACAAGAAGAAGAAGAAGATGCTCAGGCGGTCCTCGTCGCCGGTGCCAACGGGCGTGCCGGCCAGCCCAACCGAGATTCTCAACACCAGCACGGGCCATTTTTCCAGCGTCACACTCCCGCCTCCCCAATACCAGCAGCAGCAACAACAACAGCAGCACCGCCAACAGCAGCAGCACCAGCACCACCAGCAGTTGCAGCGAGGTGGTGAGAGTGCGGATGGGGTGTCGGGTGTTGAATCACCAACCAGCAAGCAGCCGGTGAGACGCGTTGCTGTCCCGGTCGCTCCCGATCCAGCACTAAATGACAGGACCAACATGATCAACTGATGTTGATTGATGTCAGAACGCTTCATTCAAGGCGTTGGTTGGCTCCACCCTCTCATCCTCTGCGCTTCTGTGTTCTATCTATGTGCTGTATGTCAACTTGCTCTCTTGCTCTGTTACCGCTGTTCCTAACTGATTGCGTTTCTTTTGTTGCACGGCATCTGCGCCCTGGCTGGAACACCGCAGCCTTGGCTGATATGCTGTGTGCCGTGTGACGTGTGCGGTGTGTTGGCTGCACGTGCGTGCACGCACCTCGCCGCATGTCATTCGCGCGCGCGCGTTGCTCGCAAACGGTCGCGGTGTGATGTGATGCGACTTGATACCTGGTGTTTTGTTGTTTTAATCTCCTGTTTAAGCGCCCTCTCCTCCCTTTCCCTTGGCGATTCTGCCCCAAAGACACTCTGGCGTCAGTGTCATTGTCGCGTCACACATGCGTGCGAATGTGTAGTACGGTTTTGCACCTCCCTACCATGCTGTTGCGGTGCAGCCGATGTGCTTGAACATGCTACGGCACATGCCGTGTGTTGTTCTTGAAGTCTCTGTTCTCGTGTCTCTGCATGTGTCGACGCCGGTGGCGTCTAGCTTGCTTGCAGCTTTGGCCCAACCTGGTTTTGTCTATTCATCATGGTTTGTTCTGGATGTGTCCATAATGGGTTTGATTCGTGTGTGCTGCTTCCTCCTGGTGTGAGTTTGGGTTTGGATTTGGTTTGGTTTGGCGTGGTCACGTTGTGCGTGCGTGTTGCGTGGTCGCAGCCATAACTCGCAAGCGCATGTGGCGGCCTCACACGCGTCGACGCCTTGCTGTGATGCTCGCCTGCCTCGCCTTCCTCCCTGCCCACCTATTTGTCTTGGTTTTCGGCGTTGTTGTTGTTGCTTGTCTTCATTCCTTTTCTTGTCTGTTTTACATCTATTCCTCGACTAGGTTGATTGATGGTTGTGGCTGGTTGGCTGGCTGTTGGCTGCCGCGTGTGCGTTGATCAACTGACCAAGCAGCCACCTCCCCAGCAAGCACCACGCACAGAAACAAACAGTTGTCTCTTTATTCGTTCCCTCAATTAAAAAGCTCTCAACAGGTTGTATGTGTGTGTGTGTGTGTGTGTGTGTGTGTGTGTGTGTGTGTGTGTGTGTGTGTGTGTGTGTGTGCGGAAAGAGTAACACGGGAAGAATGGATCGCGGAGTGGGCGCACATCAACCCTTGGGGGTCTAACAACACGAGCACGTGCACGAGCGCAGACGTGTTGTGCATGTGACGGAAACGCATGATGCAAACAGAGACAAAACAAGAAAAAGACTGTGAACATTGATGGGGCTCAGTTAGTGGCACGTGGCACGGCCATGAACGAGGTCGAGAACGCTGGCAGTGCAGTGCTTGCAAGCAAAGAGTGGGTTGCACTGGCAAAAGGCACGCTGTCCCGCGGCATGCAGGCACGTCCCGTCGTGGCAGTCTGCATCGGTCTTGCAGCTGCCTCCACCACTGGGAAACGTGCAGTTGAGGCCATATAGGAAGTCGTTCAGCTTACAAGCGAACACGCACACACAGAAACAAGGGCGAGCCAGTGAGATAAAGGGCAAATGGGAGGAAGGAAAGGCGGCATATTTGGTGAGGGATGGGACATCTAACAGTCGGACAGCAAAATCAAGTCTGGCTCACGCAACATACATGTGGGTTCAGGCCATGAGAGCACAATCACGCAAACAAGCAACACACACACACACACACACACACACACACACACACACACACACACACACACACACACACACACACACACACACACACACACACACGCACACACACACACACGCACACACACACACACACACATACACACATACACACATACACACACATACACACACCATGAGGCGGCAGTCCCCGCAGAGGTAGCCATCCGGGCAAACACAGTGCTGGTCAAGGCACAGGCCACCCATGCCGCCACAGTCCTCGTCTGCCTTGCACTTGCTGCCTCCGTGT